GTGAGTTGGGAATGGAAGGCTCAGCAGTTCCCTTCCTACTGCAAATGGGGCTCTGGGAAGTGGCATTGGGATGGTTCTTCTCAACCCCTTGTGCAAAGGGATCCCATAGTGTTCCAGCCTATCCCCGCGTTTGAATGACTATATGAAACTACTGGGTGAGCTTATTCCAGGATGTAAGAGTTAAGTTCAGCCAGTATGCCGATGACATGCAGCTGTATGTCTCTATTTTAGCAAAGTCCAATAATGCTGTAAAAATGATGGTTGCCTGCTACCATGGAGTCCCTTTTATCAGCTACTGCTGGTTTGCCAGCTGCAACCACTCTTAGACACAGAGTCTCGTGTAATCATGTACCATTTCCTTAATGAATTACATACAGCTGTCCTTGAGGACGGTTCAGAAGTTTCAGTTAGTACAGAACACAGCTACCAAAATTGTGTCTGCCCACCCAAACCTGGTCCACCCAAACTACACCGATTTAGAAAGTTTAATTGGCAGCCTGTTCACTTCCAGGCTTAATTCAAGGGGCTGGTTCTTACCTTTAAAGCTCTAAATGGCTTGGAACCCAAGTACCTGAAGGAGCATCTACTCCCATATCAACCTGCCTGGTATTAAATAGCATCTGCCAAAGTCCATCTCCATATACGTCCTCCAAGAGGTGCAAAAACAAAGGCTCTCACAGTAGTAGCACCCCCAAATAAGTTTGCCTGGCTTCAATGATGCTGTCATTTAGCTCCAAGCAAACACATTTTTTTTTATTAGTTAGGCATACTGACATAGTTTATAAATTTAATCAAGCAAGTGTTAGTATGCACTAATGTTTTGTCTCCTCTTTTTGTTTTTCCCCCTCTGGATCTGCTCTATGCTGTTCACTGTCCTGAAATCCAATATGAAGGGATGCATAAAAAGGTCTTAAACAAATAAATAAGCTAGCTAGCTAGCTCCAAGTCAGATGCTATTGCCTGCCTTCTATTGGCTTGCACTAGACATTTCTGCGCCTTCAGCCTACTCCAACTCATCATTGTAGCATAATGAACATCTTTATATTATTCCTTTCCATCTCACCTGAATTGCTCCACCAACTCAACAAGAAGTAGAGGGAAACGAGAGGAAAAGCATTCAGCACCTAAACTGACACTATTGGCATCCTTGTGGAAAATGTCAAACAAGAGAGCTGATTACTTCCAACTTCCTGTGGTATTTGGACATGCTCATTCAGAATTTGGATGAATCTTGATTTATTTCACACAAACCATTAGATTCTAAAAGCCATTCAAGCTTTAGAAGATGGCTATTTAACAAACCAGCTGGTTAAGGTAACATTAGCGGCACTGTTTCTGAATTGCTAGCCTACCCCATTCAATAATAAGCATATATTCACTGGCACTGAAAAGCAGATTTTCTAGGCAATCATACCAGTGGTTTTACCATTAACAAAAAGGGCAAGTGTGTGGGGGTAGAACAAAGAAGAGCCATCACTGAGTTTGCCAATATACAATGTATTTTTTAAAATGATCCTATCACTTTCCCTCTGGAGTGAGTAATTAAATAATCTATAATGAAGTTTCTCACTATAAGCCTATATTGCAATAGCCCTCTTTATTGCTCTGACATATGGAATATTACTCTGCCAACTATTCCAAGCTCTCAGCTTGGTTCCTCAGCTGGATGCACAACAGTCAGATTACCTCATTATATCAGTGTTATTCTTGTTTTGAACTTGCTGTTCTACAGCAAGGGTCTCAATTTGCACGCACCTGCATTTTATAATATGGGCAACACCCTTTTGATTTTGAGAATCCATTTGATGCTGTAATAAGGGCAATAAGCAACAGAAAAAGAGTTCAACAAACAGACTACTGTCTTCCCAAATGGATCAGGACCTGTATTTTAATAGCAACTAAGTGCCAACAATGGGATCATGAGAAACTCCACTGTAGATCAAAAAGGCTACTGTTGACCTTCGGTATCAAACTTTGGCCAGTGAACACCAGTAAGAAGTGGCAGGAATCAAAGAGACTCCACCAAAGCATCGCAAACCACTGCCACAGGATCTGTGTGTACAAACATATTTCCCCGCTCCTCAACTCTTCATCCTATATGTGTACATTCTTTAATCCAAGGAGTGGAGAGGTAAATTCCTGCTGGTGGAACTCAGGAAAAGCAAGCATGGCCATGAGCTGTGGCTACACCGTGACCAGCATTAGTGTTTTCTGCACTAATCTAGTCCATATCGCTTCAGGCTGATCCTAACGGCTGAAGTAGGAAAAATAATAACAATCAGCAATCAACAAGACACTGGAAAGAAAGGCTATTTATTACAAAAGTATGATGGAAATTCTATCCCATTTACAGTCAATCCCTTTACAAAAGCCAGTGCCAGTCCAAAGGCAAGTTATCCTTCCATTTAGTACCATTACATGGCAGTGCACTGAAGTAGGTTCAGTTTGAAATGCGTAGATGGTGATAATGTACAAAAGACACATACAACACACAAACACACACTTCAACATCAGCAGCATTAGTAAGACAAATTCGTAATGCAGGAAGCTGCCCAGGAGCAGCAGATAACTACATCAGACACTACAGACACACAGATGCCTAGGGCAGAGACCAAATCACTCCTTCAAAGCAATCGCATTAAGAGATGAACTACAGATTCAGGAGCACTATGTGGCGTGGTCCTCACTTCAGGGCAGAGGTGATGGGTGGCACAAATGCTCTTCCACTCCAGGAACTTCCTGCCTGCAAAAAGCTCCCATGTCATATAGAAGGGTTCTAGCCAGGCCTACCTGATATGCTAGCTGTATATGTGAAAGGTTGCTTGTTTTTAAGTAAAGAAACATTTAAACATGTGATTGACCCTCCATTTTCAGTTTGAAGTGGTACAATTCAAGATGGGCTGGCCAATGTTTCTGAATGAGTAGTTCAGTTCTACTTACCTACCACTTAGGACTCTATGTAAATAAAATTTGCACAGTTTCTGACAAACGTTATATCCCGCACTCTGGACATGGGGTTCTTGACCATAATACACAGAACGAGAAACCAATATAGAACACAGTACTTGCCGAGGAATGAGCTATCATAGTGTCATTCCACAAGAAGAACATCAGAAATTTTTTATTGCTGATTTTTATTCCTTCCTTCCTAGAAGGAATACTGTAGAATAATACTTGTTAGTCCTACACTAATATGGAAGAAAAAAAACTGTCCAAGACACAAGTTTTATTTAGGCACATATTCCATCACAACAGAATTTTCTGGGTGCCAGTAAGACCACTGGAGGAGGGGGAAGGGGAGGCAGTTCTGATTACTGGATCTGGAGTCTAGGCCATGTAGATGCAGCCATTGGTAGAGAAGTCAATGATCCTATAAATGCACACTTGATCCTATAAATGTTATTACCCTTCAAACATAATGAATGATATCTGCAGAGCCACTGAGGTCTGCCTTCTACAGGGATATTTTGCACTCAAGAAAACACATAATCTGATCAATACCCTGTTTTGAGTCAAATACTTTGGAGTTTTTAAAGAAGAAAAAATGGGGGTCGTTCATTAGAACTGTGATGGAATAGGTGAGTTGCTAAGCTACGAAAGCCCTTTTACAAGCCATGAACTGATTTGTGAAAAGACACTAATGGGTTAGAGACACCAACACCTATCAACACCATTGATCAAATGGAAGGCCACTTGTCCACAGTGAAGTTATAACTGCTGCCCAGCTAAGGCACATTCACTGAAAACAACTCCAGACCACAGATCTTGCCCACAGAACCTACTTATTTGCTTACTTACGGTATATTGGTGCTACTCTTCCAACGCTAGAAAGCTCTATGTCATAGAGTGACATAGAGCTAGATAGTATTGGAAGACCAGTACCATAGAGTGACAGCTAATAGGAATGGCAAGCCCGACACTTGTTGACCTTTTTAAAGGTTCTGATTCTATATGTTTAGTATCCATGATCCCCTTCTACTGTGGAAAGCAGTCCTGTCAGAAAAACTTCAAAAGAATTAGCTGCTCAAGACAGCAGCATCTTTCAGCTAGGGACAGCACTCGTAGTGTAGGTATACAGGTGTATGTTGGGATGTGAGATTTCTCAGAATGCAAGGGAGGGCGACAATAAACAGTCACCCACTGGAGTACTGCAGAATCCAAGGATGAAATGTATAGATAGCCTTGCTGAATAATTGAATTAAGTAGTAGAAATATTATCTTGATCAATATCTCATGATCTCAGGGGGTGGGGAAAGAAATGGGTTTCCCTCCTCCGAAAAGCAACAGCGGTTGCTAATATTTAACTGCTGTAGAAAAGTACTATAACATGGAATCCACTAATAAAGGCAACATTGAATAGTTCAGTGACTACATGATGGGACCTAACCTCAGGGAAATCTAGTCAAGAGTAACACTCAAGTGCTTCGTGAAATACAAGACGGCCAAGTCCTCTTAGTAACAGCTGGCTATCTTATTGCTTTTCTATGATTATCAACTGTATTGTTACTCCTTATATTCTATTGTACTTACAATCTACTGTTTCTCCCAGCAACAAAGATGCAGAATAATGGGAAGTTTTCGTGACCTCCCTTCTTTTCTATATATAATATCTGAGGAGTCAGGTCAGCCACACGAGAGTATTTCCTGCCACAGGAAACGGTAATAATATCAAAGCCAGTAACTCATTTCAGCAATTTCCACCAGTTGTCAACAAGTGAGTTAAAATCAAAGGCTGGAACCCATCATCATCTCTGCTAACGAAAAGGCTGGTCACGACAGTCTTAAACTAGTTAAGCCAGACCAGCTAAATCAGTCTTGTGTTTCCCTTCTTAATGGACCTGGCAGCCTGACAGCAGCCAACATGCCTCATCCAGCCTCTCCTGGGAATGTTGGCATATCGTCTCCATGCCAACAGAGATAGCCCTTTGATGATGGCACAGAGGGATAGGAAGTGGCAGGCTTCAAGCTTTAACACAGACACTAAAATGAATTACTGGGTGGCCTCAATTTCTGTGTCATGTACAAAAGAAGGCTTCAGGGGACCAATTTAACAGAAGCCAAGGCCGAATTTGCTCCAGAGAACAAGAGATGGAATTAAAAGAACGTTTTGCAGGGGAACGCCTTGCTCAACCTTTTTGTCAAACTTTTCTCACATCGCTGCAGAAGTGGATTCCCACTAAGCAACTGAAGAGCTCTATTCTGCTTATCAAGCTACATCCCTCCCTTTTTTGATAGCATATGACACAGAGGTTAATTCCTCCTAAAAAAAAAACACCACATGCATTTATATAAAAAAAATCAACATTCCTGTACCATAGCAGTTAGAAGCATGTTCTGCACACTCTACGTTCATTAAAGAGATACAAGCTTCCCCACAGGAAGAAGTGTTAGTAGGCAACTGAATTAGTAGAATGAGTGACATCACAGCTCTCAGGACAAGCTTTAACATTATGTATTCAACTTCTAGCACGCATGCATGCACATGCACACACACACTCACTCAAAGGCACCATTCCTCACTGTCAGAGGAATTTAGGGCAGGAAACCTAAATAATAATAATAAAAACATCTTTCTTTGCTTTGGAGCTTCTTAAACAAAAGGATAATCCAATGAATCGAATGCTGCAGCTTCATTTCTGCATGAGATCTTCCAGGTAACTGTTAAAGGCTATTCTGAATGGGTGTCTGTGCTCAGACAGCAAAGGCTTTATGCAAAAACAACTCATTGCCTTTTGTGTGACGGGCAGACAGAGCACTGGATCGCAGAAAGCTTTATGCTTTATGTCCAAGTTCCTGAACTTAGAAAAGCAGTCACAAGACTCTCCCAGGAGCACGTACCATGTGTACACAAATACTTTTAAGTTCATGAAAAAAGAAGTTATTGGATATTAACTATCGTGGTCTCAGAAGACTGTTTCCTCTGTTACACGCACTTGATCTTTCCTGAGCTCTGTTAAATCCCTTATGAGCAGAGACAGGCAGACATGAGAGATACCCTTGCAAAACACACACATCCTCCAACTCACACAAAATGACACCACTGTGGAACCAATGGCTGTGGGACAGTTAACATATTGCTTGGATGGTTCAAACTTTTAAGTAGCAGCAGGTTCAAGTAAATGGGGCTCTAGGACCCACAGAGAGGTTCTCCTTCATAGTTGCCGCCTCCTCTTCTCAGACCTCAAGGTTGACAGTCCACTGCTTCAGCGCCGAAATGCTGTTGGGGAAACAATCCTTCACAGCTCTTGTGCAGTGGGTTTCACCACTTGTCTTCTTGTTTATTCCCTTTCCCCCCAGGCTGTATCTAGAACTCCCATGTTTCCAGCCACCTAAGCCCTGCCATTGGGCTGTTGAGATCAGAAGCCAGAGGTCCTATCATTCCATAGGAGAGAGGGTGGAAGAGGTAGAAGCTGTGGAAAAAATCTAAACATGAATCAAATTCATGGAGACCCAACGTCACAACAGCAGAGCACATAATTGGGTGAAGTAGTTATAAGGTGTAGAGCTACTTGATATACCACTGAGGAACCCTGAAATGTTCAATTGTTTTGGCGGTGGCAAACTTGCAAGGCAGATCAAAGTTCTTTCACACACATTAGAGGGTCGAACCAAATAGAGGACATAAGATGCACTGTCCACTAAACTCTGCAATCAAAGGGGACAGGAAATTGTGAAAGAAAAGCTTGTGTCATCTTTGCCCTGGGACGTTGCACCTGAGCCATTATGAAGCTGCTAACTAAGATTGCTGCTGCTTCAGGAGAGGCAGTTTCTGAAGAGGGCAATGGCTGAATGTTGGCATTAGTCAATATCAAGAACCGTTAAGGTGACTACAAAATGGGCCACACAAGGAAGAAGTTCCCTTCAAAAATAACCTTCAGATGTGTGTTAACTATTCAGAAACCAATTCTCACCTGTAGATACTAAGCAGAATCAGCACCATTATCCCATAATTGTAAACCTTCCTAGATTGGATGCTGGCTGACAGAGCACCAGCACAAAATTTCAGAAATACATCCCATGTAATCCCTGAGGGAGAAAGAGAAAAGGGAAGATTGGCCAGGTATACTGAAACTAGAAAGCACAGTGGTACCTTGGTTTAAGAACGCAATCCGTTCCAGAAGACCATTCGAGTTCTGAAACGTTCGAAAACTGAAAACTCAATAGCCGATAGCTAGGCCCCAGGATCTTGCACTCAGTGGAAGCTGCATGGCATGTTTGACTTCTAAGGCGTGTTTGAAAACTGAAGCATTTACTTCCAGGTTTACAGCATTCAAAAACCGAAATGTTCGTCAACGGAGACGTTCGAAAACCAAGGTACCACTGTATCAGTAATCACATCAATCTGTATAGTCACAGCCCAGGATCAACCCATCAACCCATCTCCCCAAGATAAATCCATTCTATTTCAATCAGATGGAGTTTTCCAGTGGCAGAAAGCTAATCTTCTTTATTTTACCAGGCAAAGTGAATCATGCAAGCTAGTCCCTATTGAAAGAAGCATAAGATCAAAAATCACTCATCTTGAATTTCTCATGCCTATATTGATTCTAGTATCCGTAACTTAATTTTCCTTTCTTTCAGAAAAGAATCATCAAGCTAATATAGAAACATTGATGATTATGCTAGACAGTGGCCAGCAGGCGTGTATTTCTGGATGAAATTACTTTTTCCCCACGTGCTGATACCTTTAACATAAGAAGCAAAACAAAGAATGCTATAAAATACAGATGATTTCTATAGCACTTGTGGCAGTAGAATGTAATCTTTACTGCACAGATTGGCATAAAAATCCTCTGGGTAGGTCATTCTTATGTCCATATCAAAAGGTACGGAACTGACAAGAATTGGAGAGTAAGCTGCCCAAGGCTACCCCATAAGAACTGACTTTTGAACCCAAGTCTCCCAGATCAAAGGGTAGACCAAACTGGTCTTGCTGCTGATCAAGATACAGTGCACTGAAGAAACTTTCAAAACATCAACCCTAAACCAACTATGTGACAATGATCTTTTACATTTGTGTCCTTTCAAAACTCTTAATCGGTCACAACATTTTGATTCTGTTGAAACTTGATGAAACTTACCTGTCAACATACAGGAGAAAAGCATGGCAGGAAAGTAATGATGAAAATAGAGCACTCTGCCCATCATGAAGAAGGGAAAGTAATGGAGGACCCATCCTAGCATAATCCTTCCTCCGCTATGTAGCAGGACTCGAGAAAGCTCTGGAACAGAAGACATTTCTTGAATTCTTTTTATCCTAACTTGTATAAACACGTGTTCACAAAGCTTCCAGCAGAAATCTAGTTTTGTGGAGTTTATAAAATGGTTTGGTTTCTACCCAAAACAGTTGTTCCAGTTGCACAAGGACTTCTGATTGTGCAACAGAACTTCCCCTCCTTCTCCCTGTGTCCTCCCACCTCCCAAAAATCTGCTCCAGAGAGTTGGGGGGGATGGACCCAGAACAGATTGCAGGGCGGGCAGCAGGGAGGAGTTCAGTTGGAAATCCTTGGATGAATGGGATAACTTGGTTGGATACAATTCTGTGTGTTTTTACTTCACCAGTTTAGAGACTAGGAGAAAATATTACTACTGCTGCATGCCCAGCGCAATGTGTTCCCAACAAGCCAGCCCAGCTACACTGTAAATAACCAGATCTAATTCCAGCATGTATGTTAGCAATTGCTGTAGCTCCAAACCAGCAGAGATTAAGAGAACTAGGTAAGAGAGCTGTTTCCTCATCTGATATCACAATTCCATGCAGAAACAAAGAAGGTGTTATGACATTCACCTTGCCAAGAAACTCCAAACAGAGTTTAAAGAGAGTGTTCTGATTAAGACCCTCAGAATGTGGCCTTTCATTACTTTTGTCACTACTAGACAATGAAACATTAACAATATCACTGTGTGCAACAGAGAAGCCAATAAATGAAATAAGCAGCAGCTAACAACTCTCAAAGACCCAGTAGATGACTATCCTTCAGCTGTCAGGAAGACAGTAAAACCCAAAAAGAATAGTCCCAATCAGGAATTACCAAGAATTTCCAAGAATATGAAGTCTAAGAAGGAATTGCTCTCTCAGGCTATTTTCCTTGTCATGGGAACCCTAGAGCAGTAACAGTAGCTTTTCCACTTCAGGTTTCTCGGATTTTCTTTGCTTGATCAACACTAATCATCTCCCTGCTCCACACGCACAAATAAAAAACTTTTACTGAAGGGAATGTGGTCTAGCATTTACTACATGGACTTTCTCCTTTTAAGTTGCCTCCTGCAATTAGAAAGGACCAGAACATCTCTTTAAAAACTAGGCCGAAATCCAGCAAATCAACCTTTGTGAGCTGTTACCAGAGGCAGATTTAGGGGTGCATGGTGGTTCGTCTGCACTGGGCGCCAAGCTGAGAGGGCACCACAGGGAGCATCGCAACAAGGACTAAAATGGAAAGTAAGAGGTAGGGGAGCTGCTGCTGAAATCTGAAAGCCCGAAGTCTTCCATTCCTGTTGCACTCCACCCATTGCTATCATGATTCCTTTGATACTGCACTCAGTGTCCTCTCATGGATAGTGGAAGTAGATATGCAGCAGGAAGCCATAGTGATTATAAAACAGAAGAGAAGGTTATAGACCCAGAAAGTAGGAAATTTACTTTACCTTTGTGCTCAGCTTTTAGCCGAACTCCCCTCTTCATGGCCACAGAAACAAATATTGCCATTGTGATATACAATCCAAGAGTAATTAGGTTCAGCCACCAGATCACCTGTGAGGGAAAGTCTTGCAAGTAGACAAAGATGCACAAAAGGCACCATAAAACTACAGGGAGGGGAATGAGAGGACCTATCTGGAGGGAAGGGAGGGAAGCCAAATTCCCTCATCCCACCTAGGGGAACAAAACGTATATTCTTCTTACCGGATTTCCCAGCAAATAAACCCTGTAGTCTGTTTCATTGACTCCAGAAAAACGAAGGCCCTGTGGAGAAATTGATGGCCACCATCAGTATGTGATCAACACAGGTTTTTTCAGTCTACATTTTGCCTTAAGCTTGAGGTTTCCATAACAATAAACATCTGTGTAAGAAAGAAACCGGAACAATGTATCATATGTGGTGGGAGTGTGGACTTATCAAACAATTTTGGAATAATATATATGAGGAAATTTTAAAAAATGTTTAAAATATCCTTTATTTAAAAGCCAGAAGCATTTCTTCTAGGCTTAATTACCATGATATTCCTGGTGATAAAAAGAAAGTATTCCTATATGCGAACAATCAGAGCAAAAATTAATAAAAGAATGGGACTGTGTTAAAGAGTATATGAAAAAACATTGTTCAGGAATAAATATAATGATCTGTGATGAATGAAGTTTGCAGGCATAAGGAAAAGAAAAAATAGTTATGAAAGGCATAAAACCGGAAGTAATAAATGTACACATACATATAATACAACGGAAAAGCAAAAATGAAAATTTGAAGTCACTAAAGGATGGAAGGAAGTCAAAATGCATGTATGTATGTTTGGTTATGTTTTGTTATAGTCGTCGTTTTTCCTTGTTTGTTTTTCTTTTTTTCCTTCCCCCACCCCCTTTGTTTTAGTTTTCTGATTAATGTTTTATTTTATTTTTATCTTATGTTGTAACTTGGCATGGAAAAGAAACAACAACAATAAAAATCTGTAAGATCAAATATTTCCATAGGGATCCTCCATTACAAGACAGAGAAATGTCTCCAAAGAAATAGTGTTTAAAGCCCTACATTTAAAACCCACAATAGTGTTTAAAGCCCTGAATTACCCAGGCCCAAAAAATCTGAAAGACGCCTCCCGACAGATCCTTTTGGGTGCTAAGATTGGCAGAGGAGACCCTTTTGGGAGTTCCGCCACCCTCAAAAGCTTTGGGGGAGAGGTGGCCCAGGCAAGGGCATTATCTGTGGCATCCCCCTATCCTGCTGAACTCCCTCCCCATAGAGGTGAGTCTGACAACTTCATTATGCAGTTTTCTGCAAATGCTGAAGACACACCTCTTTACCCTGGCCTTTGACATTTGAGATGTGATTTTTTAAGTTGTACTAATACTGTTTTAAACTGTGTTTTAATTGTTGTAACCTGCAAAGAGTGGGTAATAAATTGAAATAAACAGAGTAACAATAACAAAAAAAATTCCTTCCAGTAGCACCTTAAAGACCAACTAAGTTAGTTCTTGGTATGAGCTTTCGTGTGCATGCACACTTCTTCAGATACACAGTGTATCTGAAGAAGTTTATCTGAAGAAGTGTGCATGCACACGAAAGCTCATACCAAGAACTAACTTAGTTGGTCTTTAAGGTGCTACTGGAAGGAATTTTTTTTGTTTTGACTATGGCAGACCAACACGGCTACCCATCTGTAAGAGTAACAATAGTGTAGTTTCTATAATCAAACCTCATAATTATATGAGGAACTATTTCAGTCTTTGCTGTTCCGATAGTCGCACAGCGGCAGCCCCTGTTGTCTGGGAGCCAATGGTTATTTAACATGTCGTTCCTTAGCAGCAAGAACCACGGGAGGGCAAATCAGAACTGGTTTTCTGCAGAAGCCATTTAAAGCAAGCCTTCCGAAAAATTCCCAGATACAATTGAAGATCAGCTCTTCACAATGTCACCTTGAAAACAATGAGATACAACATGAAGTTAAACAAGTTACAGTGCCTCAGAATTTGTTTTGCCCACATACTTGGTAATTGATAGGCCAGTGCCAGGGTTTGGATGTGACTTCATTCTCCTTTGGTTTGAGGCCACTGTTCCCCTACAAGGAAAAACAACAACTATATTCAGTTAACAGCTGTGCTGCAATAAATATTCTCCCTCAATATATATTGATATACAAGCTTTTACATGTAAAATGAAAATAAAAAGACCCTTGCTGTATCAGACAAAGTGCATAAATACTCCAGAATCCTGTTACACAAAATAGGACATGAGAGCCATAGCGCTTTCTGACTACTGTCCTCCATCAACTGATAATTTGAGACATACTGCCTTTGAATCAAGATAGCTATCAAAACTTGTCATTGATAGACTTATCCTCCAGATTTGCATCTGTATGCAAGTTACAGACCTCTCTTTTTGCAAAAAGTCAATATGCCTTTTTGCATGTCTAGATGAACGGCATATAGATCTTTCCTTGGGAAATTCTCTCCCTTTACTGTAGTCTAGAAGTGAACGAATTTCCCGAGGAAATATCTAAATGCCGTTCACATAGGCATGCTAGGCTTCCCCAGATAGTAGTGGAACAGATTAAACCCAGGTGCCTATGCTAAGGCTGCCGTGTCTCTCAAAGACCTGCTTCTTATTAGAAAAATGTCTGAGGAAATAGCTTGTTCTAAGGTTAAGCAGCAGAAGTTCCATAGCTCAAACATTCAAAACCCTGAAATAACAATGCTGGATCAAATCAGAGGTTCTTTGCAGCAAAATCAGAGAAACACAAGCATTAGATTCTGTGTTCACATGGCAGGGCAAGGGACTGGGTCTATAGCTCCATAATAATGAAAGCTAAACATGTTGCAAAACTTGATTTTATTCAGTATCTACAGGAAAGGCTAAGGCAGGAGTCTAACAAGGGTATATACTAATTATTTATCACAGTTCACAGTTAACCACCTATATTCTAGCCAGATTGTACATTGAGGGCCTTTGCCATTTAATTTAAACTGGCTAAAAACCATTATGTATATCTGGCTGCTGGAGCTGGAGCACACAGCCTTAGACAGACACTCATGTTTACAAGAACAATTCTCTTCCCCCTGCAAAATATTTTCTTCAAATGTATGTTCTCTCTAGGCAGCCTCTGTCTCAGAAGGAACAACAAGAGATGGTTATCATAACCCTGTGTGTGTGAGCTTTGCAGGGACATCAGGCAGAGCACCACTGGAGACAGAATGCTGGAACTGATGGACCTTTGGCAATCCTTATGACATTAACAAGCATTTGCTCAAAAGCTAGTCTGTGTTCATGCATGCACACATGTACTTCTATTTCTTGTCAAATATATTCACACTGCCCTCTGGTGGAGGCAGCCTAAAAACTTTCACACAACAGAATTTAATGAGATCACTATCCAAAGGGGAAGGGTTCAGAAGCCTCTCTGAAGAGAAGAACTCTACAGTCCTTTATTGTGAAATCTCCCACAAGATCCCACCGGGTTTGCTTTCACTCTGGAAAGAAACTATCTTTAGTTTAGATAAACTGAATTATTCTTACAATATCAGTGTGGGAAGCTTTGAGGGTTCTGGGTTGTTGTTGTTTTTGGTAACTGCTTTTTAGAAAAATCAACAAATATAAATAATGTCGCTTCCTTGTCGAGAGGAACGTATTAATAGCATTGCTATGAAAGAGAGTTAATACTAGTTTTTTATTTCTTCAGCTGTTATGTTTGACAGCTTCAGATAAATTTTACGCCTACACAAGGACGTTTCTTAACATCTCAGGAAAATCCGACTCTCGGTCAGAATCAGGATGACAAAAATCTTGGACACAATGATAACTGGTGGTCTCAAATAGCGAGGAGCTGTCTGGACACAATACTCCAGGGGCCCAGCTCTTCCCTTCATCCGCAACATAGCTGTCAACATTTCCATTTTCTTGCGAGGAATCCTATTCGGAATACGGGAATTTCCTTTTTAAAAAAAGGGAAACGTTGACAGCTATGATCTATAAGCACTCTCACGCACACATGAAAAATGCAGAAGAGCTGCACATACTTTTTAAAAATGTGTGGCTTTATTACTTATATCAGCATACTATCAATAGCACACACAATATGTCTCTTCCTTCATTTACTGGCACAGTCTTCCCCATATTTGATGGATGCCAGAGATTTGTGAAGTGCCCTCACTGATCACACAAGATGTCTTGAGAACTGCACTATTAAACATAAACCTGCTGAACCCCATAATGCTTCTTCTATTCCAGATAGTACCAAGTTGGCACAGTTAACGCAGAAATAAAAGGAGTGTTTTTCTACAAAGGAAAGAAAGTTACAAACAAAATGGAACCCAAGCCAGTCTACCTACTCGGATCATAACCATGTGAGACTCGAGCAGAATCTCTGGAAAGGAAGGTTTCAGAACATCCAAACTGATATTGGGCACTATGGAAAAGAAGACAGTTTAAAGTGGGATCTCACATGTTGATTAAGTACATACATTAATGATACATAGACATTCCCTCTGCATTAAATTAGGTCCCAGGTGCGGGCAAAGGTCAGAAGGTGGTTGTTGGTGTGTGTGTTTTTTTAAAAGGACCATAAACCCATGAAACACGATACCTTGAAAAGCCATCTTTCCCCCACTTTTTCCTGCTGTGCACTAAAATGTCAAACTAGAATCTCAAGAAGCTTCCTTGTATGTATAACAAAGACATGCTTAAATCCAGCCATTGGGGAAATTATTCAGGAATTCTAATTCTTAATATTTTGCTTCTGTTGCTTTATGGAGCTTTCCCTCTTCAAAATCGACAAGCAATAGGAAGGGGAGGGGAAATCTTAACATTTTGATGACAAAAAGGTACATTCAATCACATACACCTGGGATTAATGTGATCTTCAACATTCCAGAGAGAATTAGGAGACTCCTTCTGATATGGAGTGCAGGTGACTTCTACCTGCTCCCAGCCCCTGTGAAACAAGAACCATCAGTAAGTCATCAATAAAACTTCTGAACTTGTCTATCCCAACTTGCATTCATATTCCATAACATCTCTTTGTGTCAGAGACTCTTTTCTTACAGAAACATTGGCCTTTCAGAATTCACACTGAACCAAAAGACAATCTAAGGGAATCAAAAGTCATGTTGAGTTGCTGTTGTCACTCTTTTAATTGTAGTGCTGTTTTAATGGGCTTATTCTCCTATATATTTTAATTGTGGATATTTATTTTAATGCTTTGATAAAATTGTTTGTGTGTTTTATTAGGTGTGTTTTACACTTGTAAATCATTGAGATGCCACCTTGGCAATTAAGCAGTATATAAAATAAATCATCACCACCATCCTCTAAGATAGATACACATACATATAAATACATATATTTATGTTCTAGTTGCATAACTTAAACCAGTGCTTTTTTTTCTTAAAAAAAAATTAGTGGAACTCTCATTTTCCAACTCATATTGAAATACTGCCCCTCAATGAGGCCAAATTTAGATTCACAAAATGTTTAGGGGTATGCGTTCCCCTGCATCTCCCCAGAAAAAAAGCACTGAATTAAACATTTAAGTTCAAACAGTGGCCTTGTTTACACAAGCACTGGACACAGCCTTTTTTTAAAAATAGAAGAAACAAGTTATATGATTAGAATTGGCAATATGCATCTAGCTCACACTTTTTAAAGAAAGGCTTTAGAAACTGTACCTTGGTGATTTACATATTTGGCAGGATGCCATAAATGTATACCCCCCATTTCAAAGGAAGACTCACGCATCCTTTCAAAGGCATGGGAATAATTTTACATCTGTAAAGTGTGAGAAACAGACCTAGGATAGCCCACATCTATGGTGACCCTACTAAGAGGAACAATCTGCTGTCAAGTGAGGAAATAGTAAACTGTATATGCAGTAACAGCCAGGCTCTTGCTACATGAGGAATACTCTGGAAACCAAACCACACTCCCTGCTCCCCACACTCATTTAATCTTTACTAGGCAACAGTTCCCCTGTTTCTTGTGTTTATATGTCTTGTTAAACTATTTTAAAATTGGTTTTATCTAAGTACATTGTTCTCTTGCTAGTTTGCTGGTTCTTGAAGTGGAATGACCTGGAATGAAAGAGTGCATTTTCTAATGCTCAATTATCACAATGGTTTCAGGTTAACTGCCTTTCTAGCTAAAAGATGTCCGGGCTTGACAGCCTTACGAGTTCAGCCTTGACAAGCAGATCCACTTACATAGAGACCGAAGCACACATATACACCATTGTGCAGGCAGAGGACAGCCAAAGCATTCAGAAGAGCTTTTTGTTCCCCGCACCTGCTCTTCCCTAGCAACTTGCACAACAAAAAAGTCCATTGATCCTTTTTGTTAGAAAGCAATTATATTGACTGTTCAAAACATGTGAACTGGCAAGTAAATAAGCCAAACGTTTTCAGAGGAGAATTTTCTGCTATTACAAAGCTTTTGGTACAGACAATTGCATGGCAATTAAAACTCGTAAGAAGGATGGCTAAGGAATACTATGTATAAAAGAGAAATAAATGACTGCTAGAAGTTAACTGATGCTTTCTCTCACACAGCATATAAAAGGCAAGTTCATTTAAGGAAATTCACTTAAGATTCCTGCCTTCTCCTCCTGCTATATCACATGCCTGATTCTACGTTGCTCAGGAGGGTCCCCCTCCCAACCTCTGGAAAGGTGTTTTGGAGGCTGCAGGTGGCTACAGGGGAAAGGATGGGGCAAAAATCCTTCCGTGAACTTCCTTAAATTAACTTATCTTAGGATCCAAATTAATAGTGAGGACTTTTATAGTCAACAAACACCTACAAGGCAGCACAATTGAGGGACAGAAGATAAGCGACATTTGGGCTTCGGCCCTAATATTCAATTACTTTGTCCTATTTCTTAATAAAGAAACGAGACTGTGCTCAAAAAGGAACAGGAAGACAGATATGGGGCTATGCTGAACAATACAGTGGACATTCTGCCTTGCCCCACTGAGCCAGAGAGGTCCCAAGAGGACACTTAGAAGCCAAGGGTCTGCAGGCACTGTGCACTGCCTGAGGTAAATGTGGTTGCTTGTGCCCTGCTAAAGACTTTGGCAGGGGTCTGGGTTGAAGCCTGAGAGTGTTCAGAGCATGATGGCCAAAGAAAAGGTTTCTGGCTCTTCATTTAAATGGGGCAGGAGAGGAGGAAATGGTTCTCCCAGTGGTATCTTTTTAAAGTGTAACCTGGTAACATAGTAACCTGGCAGAATGGACAGTTATTTTAAAGTAACAGTAGCCATGTTAAGTTCATTACAGTGGTGCCTCGCAAGACGAAATTAATTCGTTCCGCAAGTCTCTTCGTCTTGCGGTTTTTTCGTCTTGCGATGCACGGTTTCCCATAGGAATGCATTGAAAATCAATTAATGCGTTCCTAGGGAAACCGCCTTCAGACCAGGTCCGGGGACAGTCTGTCCCCCGACCTCTTCTGAAGGCTGGGGGGGGGGGGGACAAGGGCTTTTCTTCCCACTGCCAGCCTTCAGAAGGCTGTTCTGAAGGCTGGCGGTGGGAAGAAAAGCCCTTCTTCCCACCTCCCGCCCCGCAAGCTCCGGGGACAGGAGGGCTTTGCTGCCGACCGCCAGCATTTTAAAAGCCCCTGCTGTCCCGGGGCGATTTTAAAATGCTGGCGGGCGGGAGCGAAGTCTCCGCTGCCCCGAGGAGATTTTAAAATGCTGGGGGTCGGCAGCGAACGCTTCGCTCCCGCCCGCCAGCATTTTAAGATCGCCCGGGGCAGCAGAGAAGTCTCCGCTGTCCCAGGAAGGCAGGCGGGGGGAGCAAAGACTTTTGCCCCCGCCTGCCTTCAGAAGAGGTCCAGGACCTCGTTCCGATGCCCGGCGGCGGGGTGAGAGGTTCCCGCCCCCCCGCCCCGCTTCGGAGCAGCGTTCCGAAGCGGGGCGGCTGGGGCAGGTGTTCCCTCCCCCCCGCCCGGCTTCGGAGCACCGGGAGAAGCGATCTCCCCGCAGCCCCTTGCTTCAAAAGAGGTCCGGGGGCAGCGGGGAAGAAGCGCTGCGCTTCCCGCTGCCCCCGGACCTCTTTTGAAGCAAGGGGCTGCGGGGAGATCGCTTTTCCCTGCAAACCCTTGCTTCAAAAGAGGTCCGGGGGCAGCGCGAAGCGCTTCCCGCTGTCCCCGGACCTCTTTTGAAGCAAGGGGCGGTGGGGAGAAGCGATCTCCCCGCAGCCCCTTGCTTCAAAAGAGGTCCGGGGGCAGCGGGAAGCGCTTCCCGCTGTCCCCGGACCTGGGGCTGCGGGGAGAAGATCGCTTCTCCCCGCCGCACCTTGCTTCAAAAGAGAAGACCCGCTGTCCCCTGGGCAAGCTTCGTTTTGCGAAGCAAGCCCATAGGGAAATTCGTCTTGCGAGGCAACTCGAAAACGAAAAAACCTTTTGTTTTGCGAGTTTTTCGTCTCGCGAGGCGTTCGTCTTGCAGGGTACCACTGTATATAGTAACCTTTCAAACTAAGCATAACCCTTCATTTTTATTATTTGTTAATCAAAGCTAAAACACATATTATATTGTTGTTCTGCTTTTAAGTGGTGCCTGCACTGCTTTTGCCACAGCTACTGGTGAGTGATCTGAGGTTTATTATTAACCAGTCATTTAAATATATACGGTGGCAGAAGGGAAAATAGGTTTGAACAAATAAGTAAATGGGTGTAAGAGTTGAAGTGAAGTGGGGAAAGAGTAGCTAATCCTTTGACAGTTTGGTGACCACAAGGTGGGATTATAATAATAGCTATAATAATCCCTAACAAGTGATGGCAGCCATGTGAGATAGATAAATAAAGGGGATACTTCGCAGGCATAATGAATAGCACAATCAGGAAAAGAACACTGGATGGCATGGGAATGCTCTCAAACACATTTTGGGGGAAAAATATGGATGTGTTTTCCTCATACTCAGGGATATGACAGACAACCATGAAAGGCACTAGAAAAGAACTCATTACCATGCTGGAGTGACAGTGAGCTGGTCGCAATGGGGCTTGTCTTATTACTACTATGATTGTTATTATTTTCTGCATAGCTTGCCGTGATCGTATAGTGGTTAGTACTCTGTGTTGTGGCCACAGCAACCTCAGTTCGAATCCAAGTCGCAGCAGGAAGGAATGCGCATGTTTTGAGCCAGCATGGTGTAGTGGTTAAGAGCGGTGGACTCATAATCTGGTGAACCAGGTTCGCGTCCCTGCTCCTCCACATGCAGCTGCTGGGTGACCTTGGGCTAGTCACACTTCTTTGAAGTCTCTTAGCCTCACTCACCTCACAGAGTGTTTGTTGTGGGGGAGGAAGGGAAAGGAGATGGTTAGCCGCTTTCAGACTCCTTAAGGGGAGTGAAAGGCGGGGTATCAAGTCCAAATTCTTCTTTTTCTTCTTCTTCTTACCTGTCCTTCGCTATAAGGTCCCAGAACAGGTTACAGCAATTTCAAAACACATTATTAAAAACAGTTTAAAACAAATTACCATCACAAGAACAGCATGGATCCTGAAAATATATATTTCAAGTGACAAAAGCCAAAGAGTAAAGACAATGTTGTCGTTCCTGCTGCATGTGACATTGTTCACTCACTTTAAATCATCCCAAGCTCAAGCGTCGGAAGAGCCTTCAGCAATGCATCTGTTTTCTACGATGCAGCCCCAAATGCACTGAATCACATATTACAAAGGAGGAAATCAAGAAGGATATGTGCTGCCTTGCTCTGGAGGTCCCTTCAGGCTCAAGAATTCCATGAAAAATGACTCCTAGATATTTACCATTTTGGCAACGTCTTCCCAGTTGAACCCAATAGGCAACCTGTAGCCACGTGAATTAGCCTGATCCGACTACGTAGCACTTTGATACGCTTCCCAGTCTTTCTTCCCACAACCTCAATTCGCCAGAAATCATTGCAGTCTCCAGTTCCATTCTAGTAAATGTGCATACCAAGAAAAAGAGGGGGGGCACACAGACAAAGAAGAGCTATTATGAATGAGAGAGGAATGGGTTTCTGAAGCTTCAAGGCAGTAGCAGTACTTGTGAGGAGCTAATGAGGCCCTTCAGCATTGCCCTATCTTACCTGCCCTATCCAAACAGCAGCAGTAAGTAGCCATTTCTCATAGGGGAGTTGCTCCAGCCACTTTGATCATCTTGGTTTATTAACCAAGGCCTGTCTTATGGTTGCAGATCATAATTAAGGAGGAGACACCTTAACCACAATCTGGGGTAACATGCTATGTCAAAACTTGTGTCAGCTGCCATACTGCACTGTGAGTGTGAGTGAGGCAGCACTGTCCCAGTAGACCACAGTTTGGTTTACTGTGGTGTGCAATGTTTTTGCTGCTCTTTTTGCCTCCACTTTTTTAGGGCCAATAAATAATCTGCATTGCTGCTCGCCCACTCCCCCCCCCACATTTGGATTAAAAAGTTACACAGAACTGTTAGTTGACTGCTGAAAAGGTTTACCACAATACACTTTTTCACCTCACAAGAATGAAATAAGAAAATCTTTTCATAAAGGTTAATGGTTGTACATCCTTCAACCTAGACACCAATAGGTCATAACAAGTGCAGAAGACAATAAAAATCAGTCAAGCTGTTTAAAGAGCCTTAACTCCTTGAAGTCGAGCGCTGGCACAGGTAGGCTTTTGTATTTCATGTTAGATCACTGTAGTTTATATGAGGGTGAGGCACTCTCAGTATTCTCCAATAATCTCAAGTGTTTCATACAGGGTTGTTTTTTTTTAATATGAGCTAAAAATTCACACTGCAGCTTCCTGTTATTTATGAAAGAATCGTGGATTTTGAGCAGCTTAAAAGAAAGAAAACCCCAAAAGGAGAAATAACCCTTTGTTCTGGGAATATATTCCAGGGTGGGCAGAATCAGGTTTTCTCTTTGTTCACTTACTATGCCATACCCAGTGACCTGAAGATGCTTTCTTGTCAAGGGGGCTTCATGAGGGTGACTGTGCAGGTTTCTAGAAGTCCTAAAGTTAAAATAAAATCACATTGTTTGATTTTATCCCTAGAACAGTTTGAGCGCTGAAAACTGATTTCAATTAAAGAAAACTTGGTTCAAACATTTTCTGTCATCTTCAACACAATTGAATATGGTGACACTATAGAGACGCTATGCCAAGTATACAGGCGGTGACCATTTTAGGCATGTCCAAATGACATGTGATTGCCGATGCGCGGGTCCTTCTGGGCCCAGAAGAGGGCAGGATGGGGGCGGAGAAGAATGGGGGTTGGGTGGGGCGGAACGAGGTGGGGCCAACTTATGTGTGCTCCGCTGACACGCACAGGGGCCGGGAACAGAACCCCCTTTCAAAATGGTTGCCACCTGTTTCTGTCAAAATTTGCACGTCAAGATTACTATTTACAGTGAGGTCCACATTCTCTCTCACGGTAGCAGATTCCAGGAATACTAGTGAAGTTAATTTCTTAGCGCAAATAAAGAGCATCTAATGGCACTTCAAAGACTATCAGGGGAAGAGAGAGTCATCAACAAGGTCTGTTCTAACCATGGTGTAGTTACTGGCAGACCAGATATCTATTACCATACTCAACCAGAATTGCTACTTCAGGCCTTTAGCATTCCTCACATTTCCTAAACAGCTTACTCTTTGTGTTCCAAACGGATAACGTCTCCATGCCTTACAAACTCCACAGGGAGGGAAGCGTCTGAATGATCTGGTGAAACAGAAGAGGTCACAGCATGAGATCTGAGGCTGATGGAAAAGATGTAAGAATGCCAATATCAAACAAACTTGGAAAGCATCATAAAAATATCATCGTTCCAACCTCTCTAGTTCAAATACAAAAAAACAACAACCCTGAAATATTTCCAATGACTTTCCAACATTATCATTATGATAAAAAGCTTCTCTAACAGCAAACAAAATGTATCACCAGTAAGACAGCACTCTTCCCAGGATGCCACAGAATGCAAGTGTTAGAAAAACATTAAAATTCCTGAACATTCAAACTGTGGCCACAACCAGCAAGATGAACAAGAAGCTATGTTCAGCACTAAAGACAAATTTCCTTTTGAAATATTTCATTCTGATCTGACCAGACTTTAATTCAGATAGATTACACAACTACTAACTTGGATCTGAGTCTCTTGTGTTTATACTTTTATACAAAAGGGGTAACTACGATTTAATTTTGCACGAATATATTTCAATTTGAAAGTATATAAACCATCTGTTAAACTGATGAAACAGCAGGCAGCAGAGATAAATCTGGGCATCTCTCAGGGGAGTATTATGCTGTAGATGCACCACAGGATTAGATCAGGAGGCACCACATTTTATTTTATACTTTGAAATGGGCCATCTTTGCCCCTGCCCCAAAACACAACCTCAAATGCTTATCCAATTCAGCTATGTTGCCGTCACTAGCCCATGCCACCAAGAGGCATGCATGCCAAAACTTGCCTTCCAGCGCTACTGGACTATTTAAAAAGCTTGCAAAAACCTTGTATAATGACCTCCCCACAATAAGGAACCAAGTTTATTATATATCAGATCTAATCTGCCACTAGACATGGCACAAGACAGTTCACTGGAGTGGTTGGACTAGGACCTGGGAGACAAGAGTTCAAATTTCTTCTCAGTCATGAAGCTCACTTGGGTGACCTTTGGCCAGCTGTAGTATCTCAGCCTAACCTACTTCATAGGGTTGTTGTGAGGATAAAATGGGGAGGAAGAGAAAGCATGAATTGCTGGGATAGCTCAGTTGGTACAGTATATGACTCTTAATCCCAGGCTTGTGGGTTCGAGTCCCACGTTAGGCAAAAGATTCCTGTATTGCAGGTGGTTGGCCCATTCCAACTCTACAATTATATGATCCTATGTACACCACCTTGACCTTCTCAGAAGAAAGGTGGATATGAATGTAAAAATAAATTATAAAAATATACAGAAGTGGCAAGTGTGCCCCTCCAAGGCAGTCTTGAGAAGACTCACAAAGAAGCACTAGGAGACAGATCTTGATGTTCTGTGCTTTTGGCACCTATTCAGGACAGGCAAGTCCACAGGACCTGAGAACAAGTAGATGCTGCCCTTCCTCTTACTTCCATAGTCACAGACAAGACCACAGGCATGAAAGGGCAGAGAATCGCATCCATACTCCCCTTTACCCAGAACCCAGTGGACCATGCACCTTCAGCAAGGAAGAGATGCACCACTGAATATGCTGCCTCAGAGGGGTATCAAACACAGCCCAGTTTATACAGTGTGAAGGAAAACGATGTATGCTACTTGGAATGCCTTACAGGAGGAGAGGCAGAATATAAATGTAACAAACAACAAACAAACAAACCAATACGGTAATCCCGCAGATTTAGAAAAGAAACTAAAACTCCTAGGGAAAAGGGAGATCAATTATCTTGAAGAACGGAAAAAAACAGTTACTGTACATATTACACAGTTTTATTCTCAAGTTACCTGCTTTCAAGTTGTGTTTCTTTATAATCCACAAGTTATTCAAGTCCTTATGCAAATATGCAGTGACCTAGAAGCACAGAGAAGTCATTGCATTCCATCCCTTCAAAAATACAAGCAGTCTAGTCTTTGTGCATTCACTACCGACAAAGGCAATGCTATGCATTTCTGAATGACCTAAGTTTGTAACCAATGCGTGCACACGCACACACACACAAAGCAATTGCAGTTTGTTGTGAATAGCAGAAGTTACTGCTTTTATGATTTATTTTATTTTTAAATGCATTTTAAAAATGCATTTTCCAAAGAAGCCAAATCCATGTATGACCCAAGATGCATATTTGACTTTGGGGGTGTTATTTCCACCCTGTGACACTTCACCCCCCAAGTGACCAGTTATTTCTGTGCTGGACATAGGCTTTTACATCAATGTGTTGTGCACACAACTGTGATACAATATAATATTTGAAGTCAACTCTATTTGAATTAAGAAATGCATGGAACCAGGAATCTATACTGCCAAAGTCTAGAGCGATGCTCCCTGCCTTATTCTCACCCCTGTCCTGTGTTAGTCTTCCTAAGAATTCACCCTGGACTCCTTGGGTTCAATATCACTGCCATATGATGGAAGTGCTTTTGGAGAAGACTTGTATTCTAATGATTGTGTGAACTACTCCAGTCCTGCAAGCAAGTGGTACAAGACCTGCGGGAACAGGGGAAAAGCCTAGATAATCCATAACCCAGCCTCCTGTTCACCACACTGGCGAACCAGATGCCTCTGGGAAGGTTACAAGCAGGGCATAAGTCCAATAGCCCTTTTCTGCTGTTGTTCCCTAGTGAGGGGTATACAAAGGGATACTGCCATCAAGACTAGTAGCTACCAATAATACTAACAGATCTCCTCAAGCACTACATGAGACTTTCAGCCTGCAAAGATGCTGGAAAAAATCCATAGCAAGAGAGGAACATGAAACAACCATTATTTGTACTAAGAGGACATGAAGCAGCTGAAATAGCACAGGTCTCAGACAGATTTTGACTTCTAAGTCATCTAGAAGTATTTCTGCAAGGCACTCCCGTGTCTGAAAACAACACAGGAAGGGCTTATACACCTGCCAACTTCAAAAGCAAACGTGCACACACACCTTTCCAGTGTTTTAGTTACATGAACGGCTTACGGCAACACCAGCAAAATGTGACATTCCAACAATTCACTGACCTGCTGCTGCCGTGCTCCCACACCCTCAGGATACAGGTGCCAGTGTGAGTGAAGGTATCCGCCTGCCATACGAAGGTTTTTCATTGTTATCACAGAGCCATATGCCAAGTCTAAAGGAAGAGAGCAATGGTTTAAGGTGGTTCACCTATGACGGTATTGCAAATGGAACACAAATAAGTTGTGTTGTTAGTTGTCCTCTGTGTTACAGAGGTGCAAACAGCCTTCACTTGGAGTTGAGCATTTAGTGTTACTGATCCCATGCTGTGGAACGCTTTTAAATGTGTTTATGTTGTTATATACTACCGTGATGTTTTGGAAGAGGGCGGTGTATAATTTTGTGAGTAAGTAAAACGTATTGGCACCTGTGTACTGGAAATGCTTGCAGAAAACCAGCCACAAGGGTGTGGGATACACAGTCATTAATCATGACCAAGATTCCACTGTGCTGTGAAACTGCTGCCACCACAGAATCATCATGTGGCGGCCATCATGGTCTGATGTGACTGCAGCTGCTATTTCAAGACAAGCTGAACTTTCACTAGTCCACATTGACTTGCATTAAAAAAAAAACTTACAGTGTCATGTACCATCATTTACAAAATCCATTGGGAAATCAAATTCTCATAGATATAGAAGCAGATATTTTAAGATGTGGAATTTGAGCAATGAGGGAGGCATTCAAAGACGTTATTTCAGAATAGTGCACCCAATCTTTTAGGTTTAAGAAGATAACAGCATTTTAAAAATATATGTGACTTCATTAATTAGGTGAAATAATTCCAGAATTTGTTTTTGCAGATACAGCCAACTTTTCTTGGAAAAACATCAGAAACCCACACACTCCACCTGCCCCCAAATATTCCTGTTGATTTCTGCAGATTTTAAATCACATGTTTCTTATTCTTTCTAGATGTTTTGCTTTTTCTTCCTGTTGTGCAGGGAGCGGGGAATCAAATAACCACAGAAGAAACACTCTGACAGCACATCCTTAGCTCATAGGCTGAAGTGAAGGAGGTGCAGTGACAACAATTTATCCCCCCAATTATCACTGCCTCTCTGCACTCCCACCTCTGCTGCTTGGGTACAATAGGGGTCCACATTTCCCCAAAACTATGATAACTGTACTGGTAACCAAGTGCCACTTATTTAATGTAACCAGAGGGTATAGAATGGTTCAGGTAGCACAACAGCTTTTAGGCAACAGTCTCACCCTACAAAGAAAAGATGCCAGTTGGGAGATCACTAGCATGTGACTACTGAATCAAGATGACACACATTTACAATGGCTTCAGACACAGTCTGCCAATTTAGTTTAGCAGATCAGGATTTCTCCAAGGTGGTGCCAAGAACTACAACTCGTTTTATTCCAATACGGAAATATATAATTAAAAGTTACTGTTCCATTCGTTTGTTTTTTGCATCTTTTGAGGTTCCATCAACTCTCTCATTATGTATTTTATATGCTTCCGCCACACTTGTGCTCAGTTCTAAACTTTCCACTCCGAACCCACAAGTGACAAAGATCAAAATGTTCAGAAATAATTCCAAGGTGGTTCAGATCACCATTCCAAACACACTAAAGAGCAAAAAAAATGTGACAAATACTTTGCATTTGCTTTAGCATCCACCCTGTGTTCTCTTAAAATCACAGGAGAGTTTTTTGTTTGCTTGGATACAGAGTGTTCATTAGAGCATTGGTTCCCTCAAGTATCTAGATACTCACACTCTGGAACAGACATGTTATGAAGGTTGTTTCCAATCAGCCGAGACTGAAATCCAGAGCTGAAAAAACCATCTCCAGGCCCACTGGGGAAAAACCAAGGGTATGTAAATTATGCGTGCGTGGAGACAAATGGAAAGAGTTTTAAGCATATAATTTAATAAGCAGGAAACATAACAGCACTGGCCTGTCAGCGCACAGGATGTTCCCAATTTCCTTTGATGTCTACAAAAATCTGGGTCATTTGGCTGACACACAAGCAACCTTTAGCTACCTTCAGATTTACATCAATTAAGTGATCAATTGTGCCCAAGTACAATGCAAGTAAACAATCCTGAGGAAAGCCTAATTTGAGTGAGATATTTGGTTGAGTATTTCCTAAAACAACCCCCAGACTTGTGCATGTACCTCAAACTTACATGCTGACCTGCAGGATTAGAACTTTACTGGCCCGTCACTTTTCTTCACTAGTGGGGTTAACGGCTTATTCTTAAGCATGACAAACAGGTCTAGGCAGTAAAATGGGAGTAAATACTGTGGTCAGAAGCTTGGTGAATATTGTCATTTTAGAAGGTCAGTGGTATTTGACAGAGACCAATATCCAGCAAAGTCATACACAGCATAAACCACTGAATTCAACATGCCTGTCACCCAGAAAATTGACTGGTGAATCACAAAGCCAACATTGGCTCAAGTACTTTGGCTAATACCACTTGTTGAAAAGTGTGACAGATTTTTTTTTAAAAAATAAAACAATCACTTTTCAGTCTTCTTTCCATTATTTATTAGTAAAGGACAATGTAACATAAGAGGTAGACAAGTGTCTACAACAAAATCATGAAACAACCATGCCTGATCCAGGCACTGAAATGCTAACTGGTCAGTGATGATAAAGCCACCATGTGTGAAGACACAGGTCTACACTCAAGACTCCACAGAAATTAATGCACACATGGATCAGGTTAAATATTGAGGCATAACTAAACAGAGCTGGAACACCATGTAGAATTCCTAAAACAGCTATTACCATGACTTGCCTGCCTTGCATAAAAATACATTAGAATGTAACATAAGAATTTGCTCAGTTCAAACATTGCACCAAACAACACCATAGTTTAGAACACAGAGCTTGTCTGCTTTCATGTTTGTCAATTCAAATATTGTGCCAACGGTCTGAACAATGGCTAGCAATACCCTCAAGCTTCAAACCCACTGGTTAGCCAATTGCCAATTATGGTTTCTCAGTTAAGCTTCCTTAAGCATGGTTTGGCACAATGCCTGAATTGAGCTAATGTTGTTATATGTGTGTTTTCTTTCTGACAGAAAAGTGAGGAGAAATACCTTCTATTTAGCACTGCAAAATGAACAGCAAACATAGCAGTATAGAGAGCAAGTGGCAGCATAATGAGGCAGAGCACACGAGCCAGGAAGTGCCTCCCCAGAGTGACCTGCAAAAAAGAATTCAGAACAGTTGCAGCACCATTTAGGCAGGTTTCGTTATACACATCTCTTGAGTAGACCTAACCAAGCAAGCTATAAGGACTGCACCAATTGGCTACTCCATCAATTCCTCTTGTGGAGTTAGTATATTTATTTGCATATTGTTAAGACTCATAGAGTTTTGCTGGCAATGGCACAACTCTAATTACACTGCAGCCATCTGCAGGCAGGAGACTTAAGGAAGATGAATTTGTCCTATTTCAAATGTAATTAACTGACCTGACATTAGAAGCAGACCTTTTCAGAAGCTGATGCTCTATGTCTTTGGACTACACTTATTTAAACCAAGAGAGGCAAACCTCATAGCAGAAAGAATGTTTACCCCATATAGAAAGGATAGTAGGTGGAATAAATTGGATTTTGTAACTTCAAACAATCTGAGAAGCTGACCCCAGAAGAATAATAGCACCTCTAAGATAGGCTTGAATAAACAGCATTATGGATGGCAAAAAGCCAATTTCCTTGCTGCTAATGAGACACAGATTTAATAGCATTTATCACCAAGGTCAGCCTGTGTCATAATTGATGACTTCTAAATGCAGGCTAAAAATAATTTAAGCCCACTGCAGAATTCAGCTGCTACCTTGACAAGTTATTTAAGTCTGGTAAAAATCCTCTTTGTGAACAATGAACTGACTGAAGTTTCATCTTCAGAAAAGTAGCTCAACCTGCAGAGCTTGCAAAACCCATAAGGACAGCTATAAACCGGTAACTTGGAATAATGCATTGTGTATGCCAAAATCTAATCTACAGACTATGAACTGTATCTTCGTACTGAAGGTCAAAACAACTTCAGGTTTCCCATTACAGCACATTAGATACAGCAAATCAAAGGCCTCTATCTAGCAGCATTTTCTCATAAAAAAACTATTTGCAGAACTCTATAGTGTATGCTTAACCTTAGGCTACTCAGTGCAAAGTTGAAATGAAAACAAGAACAACTCAGGGGACAACAGTCTCCTTGAATGAACAAGAGCAATATTTTAATGTGTAATGCAGAAGGATGCTTTATATAGATTGTCAGACAATTTTTAAATATGTACTGTCATGGTCATCACTTGGCCGCACTTGATGTCCAACTTCCGAAAATTGTTCGAAAACCTGAACACTCACTTCCGGGTTTCAATTGTTTGGGAGCCGATTTGTTCGTCAGCCAAGGCATTTGAGATGCAAGGTACGACTGTACAATGTTTTCATGATGCATTTCCCCACAAACACTGAAAGCTAGTAAAAATTCTAGACACTCACCAGTGAGAGACTGAGGTCTCCCAGCAGCTCCCAGAGATCACAAACAGTGCTCAGTCCAACCAGGAGTACTACAAAAAGGCCAACAAATTTCACACCTATTGCACCAGCAAGGTTTATACCAGTCAAACAGAGCCAGAACCACCAGGAAGCAGAAAAGGGTCTGAAAAACACATTTTAAAAACTTCCTGTTGGAATAATAAACTTTTTAATAGAGATCCCTGGAGTAAATCTAAGGCAGGGTATGCTTTATACCTAGGTATCTCCAATGGAGAAACAGAACACATTTACCTTCCTTGCTCCAAACACTTTTGCCCCCACGTTCAGAAGGGCATGTTGCCTTCTGGCTGAAAATGGTTCCTCACCTATTCTTGAAGCGCTCTCCCTAAAAATGAGGCAGTGCTAAAATCTGATCTAAAGCAATTCAACTGATCACACAGAAAGAAAACTATCCTGGCAACCTCCTGCTGTTAAGAAAGTCAATACAATAGCCCAGAAGACTCAGAATAACCACATCAGGCAGCAGACAGGGCCCTAGCCTTTCGGAGCCATCACTATCACACATGTACTTGCATGTTATTTGTGAATGCAACACTAGAGGGGAGGGCAATCATCTGTACCTTAATGCCAATCACTGCTACCATACTGAGTATGGCTCTGCTCCTGAATACAGGAATCTACTGCCAAGTCCACTGAACTACTATCCCTGTACATTATGGTATTATTAAATGATGCTTCTTGGGAGAGACCTTCTTTGTTCAATTGTCTACCATATATATTATATATTATGTGCTTTTATTTCTTAATAATGGATTTTATTGCTGTTTTGAGTTGTTTTATGATATGCTGAATACACTGAGGACTCTTTGGAGCCAAGTTGGCAGGATAAGAATCACAACATAATGCAAAACAAACATATAATTAAATCTGTTGTGTATTGAGTCAAAGGATTTTGTATCTGTATTGTTATTATTGTCTGTATTTGCATTAGGGTAAAGTAACTGCCTTTTGGTTCCAGAGGGTACAGCTACTATTGGTTCATTTAAGCTGCTGTATTTGGATCCTCTGTCTTATTGGTTTCCTCCAAAAGGCAGGACTGTGATTGCCTGATATTGTTCCCTCCAAAATGTATCCTTTCTAGCTAGTTCCCTGTCCCTATAAATCTAGCTCTTCCCTCCTCAGGTCTTAGTCTTGTTTGCTTTAATAAAGAAGTGTTACTAGAGAACTGACTCCAGCATATTATGTCATGAGAGCTGAAATCACAAACCCCACATCATCACAACAAAATCTTCTGTCACAAGTGTGAAGCGCCACATACTTGAAAAACTGCTGCCACCTTACCTGTTTGCACAGGAATTATGCTTGACCATGCTGAGCACAGCTCCCATGAGGAAGAACATCAGAATGGGGTCTAGCAGAATGTATTGAGAGAGAGTAATGAAACCTGTATCTGGAAAAATAAGACAAAACCATATCAACTGTTGTTCTAAAAACAATCTAAAAGTTGTTGTTTTTTCCAATGCTTAGTCAAGCTTAATCTTATTGCAATAAGAACACATCAGAATGTACAAAATCAGCTATGCTGCTTTCACTCATTACCTGCAAAGTGTCTCGTCCTCATCTACACATTTATTTCACTGTCAGAGATACTATTCACCATCAGAGATATCGGCTTCAAAGCATACAGCTTGGGGTCATCAGTTAATTGTTATTATTATTTATTTCCTTCTCATGCCACTTTATACAGTGGAACCTCTACTCACGTACGGAATCCATTCCAGAGGTCTATTCGTGAGTCGATCCAAGTCGCTGGGAGAAGCGCCGTTCTGCGCATGTGCAGTCGGCGGTAGCCGCTTCTGCGCATGTGCAGTCAGCAGAAGCCGCTTCTGCACGTATCGCGGCAAACCCGGGAGACCGGGTTTGCCGCGGTCACGAGTCGGATTGTTCAAGGGTAGGGGCAGTGGTAAGTCGAGGTTCTACTGTATTTTTAGGAAAACAATCTCAAAGCGCTTTACAACATTTTAAAGCAGTAAATAAAACAATCCAGAATAAAGCATTACTGAAGAAAGTAAAATATAAGATGCACATTTAAAATAGCATAATTAACAAGAGAACAAAATATTATCATAAGCATAAAATCATACCTGCTGCTGTTGCTGCCAATTCTGTCCATGATGGTGCATGGTGGGAGGCAGCTGTGGAAGCTCAGGCTCAATGGCCTGGGTTTGCATTAAGAGACAGCCAAGATAGTTCTCTTCCCTGTCCTCCTCCACCTCTCATTACCTAGGCCAATGCCATTTCCTATCACGACTTTCCACTTATTCAAGATCTGCCCCTTCTCTTCTTCAGCTAAAATTGTCCCCTCTTGAGAAATGCTCCTATAGCTCATCTTTGTTCCTGCATTCTCTCCTTTCCAAATAATGTGGACCAAAAAGAGAGAAAACTTTTCACCCTTTTGATTGTACCCAGGGCATATGTATATTCAAAACATTTGTTTGTTTTTATGCAGACTCTTAAAACATTTTTGCATTTATAAAGCACTCAAAGTATTTTACACCCTAATCATATTTATCTCACAATAATCCTCTGTGTTTATTACTAGGCCTTTTCTCAAGACAGAAAACTGAAGGCAAGAAGCTTGTTCAGGTACTCCCCACAAGTCTGTGACTAAATAAGGATGTTGACACATAGGGTCTTCTGCGACAGGAGACCATGAGCACCTAAAGTTTCTGAAGCGCAATTCCTTCACTAAGCATCGTTTTCCAACAGGAGAAACTAATGAAACAAACCCTGCAACATGAAGAGGATGCTTACCAAAAATCAGAATGGCAGCTGTAAGCATTGCTGCAGGCAGAGATTTGGACAACTCCAGCACCGTGAGGTAAGAGAAGGGGACCAGGCACGAACCAAGGAACGCACAGAACTAAATAAAGAGAGGAGAAACACTCTTCACATGATGATGACAAAGCATGTCCTTAGCTCTGCTGCTACCCAACCTTAAAAACACACAGTATTAGCCAAGTATACTCAAGTCAGTCTGCTGAGTATTCTCCACCCTTGTAGAAACATAGCTTTGGAAGAGACCAACGGTCATCTAGTCCAACACCCTACAATGCAGGAATCTCAATTAAAGCACCTATAACAAATGACCATCCAATCTCTGCTTTAAAACCTCCAGTGAAGGAGAGCCCACAACCTCTCGAGGGAGTCTGTTCCACTGTCAAACAGCTCTTACTGTCCGAAAGTTCTTCCTGATGTTTAGTCAGGATTTCATGATAGAAATATTCCTCTAGAGATAAAACAGACGAAAAGTTCCAAATCTGATCCTCCACCACCCTACCTTCATTCATCCTCACTTCTGCCCAAATACAGTGGTACCTCAGGTTAAGAACTTAATTCGTTCTGGAGGTCTGTTCTTAACCTGAAACTGTTCTTCACCTGAAGCACCACTTTAGTTAATGGGGCCTCCTGCTGCTGCCGCTGCGCCGCCGCTGCACGATTTCTGTTCTCATCCTGAAGAAAAATTCTTAACCCAGGTATTATTTCTCGGTTAGCAGGGTCTGTAACCTGAAGCATATGTAACCCGAGGTACCACTAATTCTAAAGCTTCCATTAGGAAATATAACCATCCCACAGCTTAACCTACATTATCTCCCTTTTCCCTATATTTGCAGCACTCCCACCTTTCTCAAACAAGTTCAAGGTGATGTAGATGGTTTCCCCCCATCTTCATTTAATCCCACCCCTGCAAAACAACCCTGTGATATAGGTTAGGCTGAGAGGCAGTGACTGGCCCAAAGTCACCCAGTGAGCTTCATGGCTGAGTTGCCATTTGAACCCTGGTCTGACAACTCTAACCACAACATCAAATGTCACATTGTTTGAGAGTCAAAACTGCTGACAGTGATACCTCCATGGGCATGAGGAAAACACAACCACGCACTAAAAATAACTGACAGAAAATTCTGCTAGAGAGAGAGACAGACAGACAGACAAAGACTGGTTCCCTCCTCCCTGCAGTTAACTGAAGTTACTAGTTTCATAAACTATGAGACAATTAAAAGAACATTGCACATAGCTTTTTTATTCCTCTTCTCTACTCATTCCGAATCCTACCAAATGTTAGATTACTGTACAACCATCAGATGTAGTACAGCTTTAGAAATGGAGATTACAGTATTACCTGGAATCAAAACCCATTCTTGAAACATAAGCATATGTTTATTGGAAGCAGAGAGAGAGAAGAGGGAAACTCTAGGTCTTCTCCATATATGACCTCTGGTTATTTAAGAAGCCCCACAGTCTTACCCCTCTCATTCCTATGTAGTTATGTTGTTCATATTTGTCCCCTGGCTTCTGGAAAGGGAATGTGCCATCATAACCACTCAGGTAACCGGCAAGTCCTATCAGCATCTAGAGAGAGAAGAGGACTGACCTTATTCAAGCAGAAGTAGATGAAGTAGTTTATAACTTTTTAGAGCACTAACTTGATCTAATAAAAAGACATAATTTAGACAAAGATGATGTAACTGAACCAGGATGAGAATGTTCTGCAGTCAAGGAAATGTTCTTAGATCTCAAAAGTTTGCAAGAATTGGTGTTCGCTATTTACCTTCCCGAGAGGTGGATGGACATCAAAGAAAAAGGTTCGGTTAATGTAATAGCTTCCCATCTTTCCAAAATGTGTTTCATCCCAGCTATGAAAGGGAAAAGAGTAAAAAGATGACTGTTAGCCTCTGGCTCACATCAGTATTTGCCACTCCTAGTTGTTCAGTGTGATGATGAAACAAAACACTAAGCAGATCTGCACTTGGGGACGTTGGACCACTTAAGCTCTCTCGTAAGGTTGTTGCAATGTAAAAATGGTGAAGGGGACTTACATTTGGCACCCTGAGTTTTTTTGGAGGAAGGGCCACAAATAGATATGTTGTATTTAATACAATTTAAACCTCACCTTAATTTTTTTTTAAGTAAAATTAAAATATCAAGTCAGTTTTTAAAAAAAAAAAACAAGCGCATTTGTGTACCTATCAACGGAAGGTAACAGTTAACGCGTCTGATGAAGTGGGTTCTAGATTATGGAAACTCATTTCCCACAAGCCCCGCCTCCGAATCTAAGCCCCGCCCTCGTAACCATGGCACCCCACAGCCCCTCACCAGATGTGTGGCGGCTCCCGTAGGCGATAGAAGCGGGTAGCGAAGCTTAGGAAGACGACGAGGCCAAGCGGGCTCCAGAACCAGCCGGGACTCCGGGCTGCGGAGGGCGTCGGCGCAGGGCCGCTTGCCAGTCGGAGGGTTTTTCGCTGCCGCAGGCCGGCCGGTACGGCCTGGCCGTTGTCGTTCGCCGCCAGCGGCATTCGCGGCCAGACAGGAAGCGCCTCCTGCCGGCCCCCCTACCTTGCCTGCGCCCGATGCACCACGGGAAGGAGAGTCCGCGCTCGAAAGGCATGATGGGCAAAAGAGTTTGCCGTTCCGCCCCACGTGAGCGAGGGGCGGGGTTGGTGGGGAGTTACAGAGGCTTCCACTGCATTGTGGGAAGCGTAGTCCTTGAAGCAAGGCTGTCCGCGCCAGAATGGATTGGCGGAGTTTTGCGACGTTCAATAAAACCTAGTATCCGCTGCATGTCTCTGTAAGCACTGTGGCATCAAGAAGGGCAGCAAGCAGCACATTTTGTATATTTGTTGCAAAGGGGCTGCCTTCTTTAGTCTCCTGCCTCTACTGCAGACTGAGGGATGATCCAGATACAATCATACTGTCAATTGTACTCTATGCTGACATCAAAAGTGACTTCATAATTCTGCATTATGACTGACAAGCTGCTATCTCTGAAATACTCTGAAATACTGTATCCTAGGGTTACCTGTCAGAGAAGGGCTAGACATGTTTAAAGGACATCTGTACATAGAAAAGTTCCTGCTAAAACATGGGCTAGCAGAACTGTTTAAAGACAATAAATACACTAATTTAAAACTCCCACTTCCTGCTCTATCATTTTGTCCACTGGTCTTTGGAAAGCAAGGATGAGAATCGGGAAAATTGTAACTAGGAGCTAGGGTAGATATTGCTTACAATTCACTTTCTGGGAACATTGGTTTGTTTGTTTTTTAGCCTTTTCGGAGATTTCTTTACTGCTCTGGGTTAAATAAAGAACCCTTCAGTTTAACCCGACGTTTTCTTAATGCTATATGTATTGCAGTTGTCAAGGCAAATACAACCGTTTTTTACCTTTTTGTAAAATAAGTTGTCTCATTTGCCTAACTGGGTCCTGGGCGGCCCAAGCTTTGTCCCGCTTTTGCTGCAAAAGATTGACACAGCTGCCTCTCTGAAATGTGCATTTTCTGAGGTGTTCTCTTTTAAATTCGTGCTTGCCGCCTAAGGAATAAAAAGGGCCAGTTTTAAGACTTTTGGAATGAGCTGAAACTACAACTCCCAGAATCCCACCGACTCACGGGAAAAGCTCTCTCGAACAAAGTCTCCCTTCAAGGCTGGCAGGTAGTAAAACGCCAGCGCGGAAGAGGAGGGGGCGGCTACTCCTAACATAGCCAATGCCCTGTTGAGCAAAAAAAATCATAGCTTCGTTCTTCGGCTAGAGAAAGACGAAGGACTGCACAGGATGTGCGCCGCATTAGCGAAGGTAGTTGCTATTACAACAATGCGGAGGGGGAAAAGATACATTTGTGTTTGCAAAGCCAGCTGCCTGGGGCTGATGGGAGTTGTAGTCCAAAACATCCGGACAACTCGTTGGTGAAGGGTGCTTGGAGGAACACGCTGTTTGTATTTCTTTTTCTTGTTTTTCCTGAATATTCTTTCCTTGTACCCAGGCTTCCATTTGAGTTAAATATTCTGCTCAGACGAAAGCTTAATGCCCATTTTAATTCTTTTTGCTGTGACAATTTCCCCGTGTAACTGAGCTACCCTGTACCCGTCTACCAAGAACAGAAGGATATCCTGTGAAGTTCAGTGAGGATTACTCTGAAGTATAGGATTTCAGATTGATAAACAACAAAATGGAGCAGGAGACAAAGTCAGGATGGAGTTTTGCCTTCTGGGCAACCAGGGATACACCATAAATCTTTGTTCTGTGATAATCTGGAATAATCCTGGTCTCATATCCCCATCCCCTTTGGGAGAGACTATGGCTCATGCAAAAGGTCCCAGGTTTAATACCCCACATCTCCCAAGACCTCTGCCTGAAACCCTGAAGAGCTGCTGTCAGTCAATGCAGTTAGATGGGCCAATAGTGTGTCATAGTATAAGGCAGTTTCTGTGTCACTGGTTAGTCAGGATTCTAAGCTGTCTACCTATCTTGTTTGTACCCACTATTTCAAAAAGGACCTCAGGGTTGTTTACAGTTCTTTTACCAGCTTGATTGTAAAACACAATAAAGTTGAAGGTCAGTTGCTGAAGGGTAATTATGCAATTGCTCGACTATGCATTTTCTCCACACACACCCCCAATTTATTTTGCCACAATCCTTTAAGGTAAAGGTAAAGGGACCCCTGACCTTTAGGTCCAGTCGGGACTGACTCTGGGGTTGTGGCGCTCATCTTGCTTTATTGGCCGAGTGAGCCGGCGTACAGCTTCCGGGTCATGTGGCCAGCATGACTAAGCCGCTCCTGGCGAACCAGAGCAGCGCACGGAAATGCCGTTTACCTTCCCGCCGGAGCAGTACCTATTTATCTACCGGTACTTGCACTTTGATGTGCTTTCGAACTGCTAGGTTGGCAGGAGCAGGGACCAAGCAACGGGAGCGCGGGGATTCGAACCGCCGACCTTCTGATCAGCAAGTCTTAGGGTCTTTCTAATAGATTCTTTTTCGGGCAGAGACTATCCAGATAGGATGGTTGCAGAAGATGAAGTCTAGCAACATCTGGAGGACCACAGTTTTTCTGTCCCTGCAGTAAATAACTACAGGCCCAGCTTGCCTATTTTACAAAAAAAAAGTCACACAGCTCTAGTCCCCCACCCCCCACCCCGGTATCTGACTAAAAGTGCTATGCAATGAGATCTTTGTCTTGCTCTGTTTTGCCATCTGATAGCTAAAAGGGTGGGATTATGAAATTTCTCCAATTGGCTGCAAGGGAAATATTCCTCCCTCTCACCCTCCCTGCAAGTTTTAGACAGTGTGAGCTGGCTTTCATTCTGAGAATCCTGCACCACATGCAGCATGGAGGCTTCTAAAAAGGTGAGATAAATGTGAGTTTCTGGTAGGTGAGGCTCTGTCTTGATATCATAGCATTGTTGTGTCACTTTTCCCACACACTTTTCTATAATATTCGTCTGGAGTAGAAGCTGCTGGTCTTCAGGCAGTCCTTCACTGAAAGTTTAGAAAGTGAGCTTTCATCTTATAGCTGTTTGGGATATGCAGGGTGGGGGTGGGGGATGAGGAGGGGTCAACACTGGAAAATGCCAGTATTTCAGAAGAAGAAATAGGAATCAGTGAGGCCACTCTTGTCTAAACATGCTGTTTGCAAAGTGAGTCAATTTCATTTTCAGGAGAATCACAAGACAAATGGCAAGACTGTCTTGTGCTAAAAGAAAAAAACCAAAACAAATTATCTGTTTTCTATGGACTTGGTAACTTTTATTTCAATATTCGTGAGTCTGCTTCAATTGTAACTTACTTTTTTTCCTTGTCCCACCCCCATCCCCACTGCAGCCAGTCCTCTATACTTATTTCAGAAGTTCCTGCACCTGGAGAGTGAGAATTGGTAAGCACAGCGTGGAATCCTATTCTATAGGATGCTGCCAGTTAAGAGTCTTTTGCATTTCTTCACCAAAACGCAGTTAATAAGTGATTTATCAAACCACAGAGCAGCAAACATATATCCGAAAGATCAGCCATTTCTGAAGACTAAAACGTGTCTTCTTTACTTGTGGTAAAGAGTGGGAGCAAATGCTAAAATTAGTTTGCTGTGGAAAGAGGAAAGCTCCTAGATTGTGTGAATACAGAGAACACGTTTGTAGTTTAAGGGTGCAACCCTATTCACACTCACCTGGAAGCAAACCTGACTGAGCTCAGTGGTGCTTACTTCTAAGTAGACACATAAAGGACTGCACTGCAAAAATGGAAAAATACTGTGCAACCTGTGTGCAGATTGTCTTTGGGAGAAAGCAGTTGACCACAGCCCATGTGTCCAACATGTGCAGCCTGTATATACAGTCATACCTCAGACGCTTCGGGTTACGGACCATGGGAAACCCGGAAGTACCGGAACGGGTTACTTCCGGGTTTCGCCGCTCGCACTTTCTGCATGTGCAGAAGCACTGAATCGTGCCTGCACAGATGCAGCGCTTCAGGATGCAAACGCTGCGGGTTGCAGACGTGCCTCCGTCACGGATTACGTCTGCAACCCGAGGTTCCACTGTGCATCAAAAGTGATGTTTCAGGCTGCAGTCCTAACCCCATTTACCTGGAAGTAAGCCCCATTGAATTCAATAGGACTTATTTCTGAGCATACATGGTTAGGATTGCACTGTTAACGCATGAGGTTAAATTTTTTATTCCTTTGCATAAAGTGCACTACAGTGGTGCCCCGCAAGATGAATGCCTCGCAAGACGAAAAACCCGCTAGACGAAAGGGTTTTTTGTTTTTTGAGGTGCTTCGCAAGACGAATTTCCCTATGGGCTTGCTTCGCAAGACGAAACGTCTTGCGAGTTCTTGCGGGTTTGTTTCCTTTTTCTTAAAGCCACTAAGCCGTTAATAGCCGCTAAGCCGTTAATAGCCGTTCTTCACAAGACGAAAAAACCGCAAGACGAAGAGACTCGCGGAACGGATTAATTTCGTCTTGCGAGGCACCACTGTACATGCAGGAAGTTCTGTAATGTGCAAAGCAGCCCTCTCCTGTGGCAGAAAACATTTGTGAGACAGGCCACATTTACTCCTATATTGCAATGTACGCAATCTAGAAATTCCCAAATATTTCTGCACTCATAAGGATTTTTATGTAGCTCCTTCTCTCTTTGGCTGGTCTTTTTTATCTGAGGACTGTGATTAATTAGATACATACTTTCTACATAAAAATACCACAATCCAGATGTCTGCATTTCCTACATTCTTTAGAGGCACTCTGGAAACACTCAAGGGATGCTGGAAGACTTTGGGTTTTAAAAGTTCTGTCTGTTGAAGCTCATAACCTGATATAATCTAGCAAGATAAACAAGACTGACTCTGGTTGGGGGTTACAACTATCAGTCAAAGAGAGCATCAACCATGTTAACTGAATTGCTGTCTCCAGATTGCAGAACATGGTGAAGCAGCCTGGTGTCTGGTTTGTTGTTTCAGTGTAGGAGTGGGGAACCTTTGGTCCTCCAGATGTTGCTGCACTACAACTTCCATCATCCCTGGCCACCGACCATGCTTGCTAGGGCTGGGAGTTGTAGTTCAGCAACAACTGGAGGGTGAAAGAGTTCAGCCCCCTCTCACCCATGCTTATCTGTTGTGGAAAGTGGTAGGCACCCCTTGCTTTATATTTAAACAGAGACGACACCTGAACAGCAAACCTGTCTTCTCAAGTCACATCTAGTTTGACCTTCAGTGAGGAAGGTGAATTAGCTCCACAGAAACCACCGCTGTTGCTTTAAACATAAATGAGCACATTTCCCTTTTGAAACAAAATCTTGGTTCTCATATTTGCTCTTAATGCACACCTTAGTTCTTAAATCCATATTATTACAAGTTCTTGTGATGCTGATTCTACAGATTTTTGTTGTTTTGTTGCTTCAACTTCCATAGTGTTCAGAGCGTTGAAAAATGAAGTGATAAAAATATATAAATTGGAGTAGGTAGCATCCTGAAACTGTATGTCACCCTTTCTCTTGGCAGCACTGGCTCTGAAAGGAATTGCCTATGATTCAGCACCTGTCAACCTTGTGAAGGATGGAGGGCAGCAGGTAAGGAGATGGCGGGATGTGGTCTGCACAGCTGGCAGGGTGGTGCCTCCGCAAGGGGGAAGCTTTGCTCTTCTGGGCTTCAGTAGCGGAGCCCAAACGTCTCAGGAGCTGTCCTGTCTCCACAGCTGACACCAGAGTACCAAGCAGTGAACCCAATGCAGCAAGTCCCAGCCCTCAAAATTGATGGCATCACCCTCTCGCAGTCGGTGAGTAAGCAATCTGTATTAATTATTTACTTGGTTCTGCTGCCCAGGCAAAGGACTTTGCACTCCAGATCTCAGGAGCGGGCTTGGGACTTGCTGGAAGGAAAGCTATCGTGAATGGGATAGGAACACCTAGCAGCACCATTAAATGGGTTTCTTTTCACCATGAAATTAATCCCACACTGATGTTGCTTGAAGAATCCCATCCTACCTGTGGTTCCATACTGATTGTTCTGAGACATGAGATTCATTCCTTACACGGGATATGCTTTTACTAGCATATGCTCCAGATTAGCTTGAAAGACAGATGGAGAACCTGTGGCCCTCCAGAGGTTGTTGAACTCCAGCTTTCATCAGCCCCAGCCTGCATGGCTGATAATGAGCGTTGACTGGAGTTGTAATGCTCAACATCTGGAAAGCCCCAGGCTTGGTTTAATCCAAGCAGATCTAGAGCTTGTGGTGCACAAGCTTCATTCAGGTGATCCATGGCTTACCTGTGGATTTGTTGCTGAAGATGGGAAATGGCACACCCGTTGTGTTAAACATTTATATTGATTTTTAATTGTACTTCTATTGCTTTTATTTCTTACAGTTTATATAATTCTTTTATAATATATAGAAAATAAAAGCAATACCATTTAAAGAGTCATACAGTATCTAGTACAGCCACATTGCAATTGCTGCAGCATCAAATCCATGGGAGGGAGGGAGGTTTGGGAACTACTGCTTTAGATTTCTCACTCCTTGATCTGCATCAGGGAACTAGTGTCTCCATTTCAACCACAACCCCGCCTCGGGCCATTCTTGTCTAAAAGTCTCTCCGCTTATTGCAGATAGCAATAATAGAGTACCTGGAGGAGACGCGTCCAAAACCTAGTCTCCTGCCCCAGGATCCAAAGAAGAGAGCCCTAGTGCGGATGATCTCAGAGCACATTGCTTCTGGAATTCAACCCTTGCAGGTAATTGCCCAGTTGCTGGGCCTGCCTATCCATCCTTAACCCTGTTGGATCAGAGTTCACTACTGACTGCAAATGAAGCGGTGTCCCTTGTTACGAACCTCAGGCCCCAAGGAGGGCTTGTGTGAGTGGTTGGGTGTAGGGATACCAAAGGATGTCGAAAACATCAGAATGGCTAGTTCTGGTGCTTTATTAAATACACTGTAGGCTTACAGCAAAGCAGCTTGCCAGGTCTCCTAGCCTTTGCAGACATGGGACAGACACCACAGCAAGGAAATGGCTTGTCCGCAGAATCTGTCCTGCGTCTCTGAAGGCTATAGACTGCTTTGCTGTAATGTTACACCTCCTTTAATAAAGCCCTATAATTGGCCGCTCTTATGTCTTTGATGTCCTCCTTTGGTGTTCCTGCACCAAACCACTCCCACGAGCCTTCCTTTGGGCCTGTGGTTCAGAACACCCCTCCCGATTGGGTTTCCCCCCTGGATATATATTCTTCAATATATAAAAGACACAGTGATAGTGCAAAATTGGGGGTGGATTTAAACTGGATCAGCCACACATCGTTCCAACTGGAAGCAATGCTTCCTCAACATTACAACATTTTCCCCCCGGAAGGGCACTTTTGCACAAACAAACTGCAACATTTGAAGTATAAAAAGTGACAGGATGTTAGCGGAAGGTACAGGACTGGAACTGACTGAACACAAAATAGTATTATCCTGACACTTTTGCAGGTGTGAACCCTGTTGTAAGCAGAATCATGCTTAACCACCCCACACCATCACGAGTGTGCAAATAATCATGAATGCACAGCAAAAAAGGGCATCATGAAGGCCTCTCCCAGGAAGGTGGGAGTAATGAATTTCTACAGATAGTATTGCAGATGACCCCTGCCCTCATACTGTGTTGTACTAGTGCTCACTCAGTACCCATTGTCTGTGGCCCTCTTTGTATCTGTTCCAGACAAAAAAGTCCCTAGAGATAAAAACAAGACAATATCTATTTGTCTTGCCTCAGCCTTAAAGTTCAAAAGGCACATAACACTACAGCAGGAGTGGTGAATCTGCGGCACTTCAGATGTTATTGGACTCTGGTTCCCATCAGCCCAGGACACCCTGACTGAGGGTCAGGGATGATGGGAGTTCCTCCCCTAGAAAGACACAGCTTGGCTACCCTTGCAATATATCATAGATTAAAGCCTCACTATCTGTCTTTGCCATACCTTCACACACTCCAAAAGTAGTTTTCCAACCTTCCTTCTCTTTTTATTATTAATATTTACTTATTAGCCACCATATAGTGAAGCTTCTGGGTGTTGTACTGCAGAGGCAATCTAACCTGCAGGCTCTTCCTACATTTTATCAGAACTTGACTGTCTTGGAGCAGTTTGGTGAGAAGAAGCAAGACTGGGCAAAGAACTGCATTTCTCGTGGTTTCAAAGGTGAGTCCCAGGTTGAAACTTTTAGCTGGAGTTTAGTCATCTGCTAGCCAGGTAGGAGGTTTTGAGGAGAAAGCTGTCCTCCTGTCTGGCTTGTACTGGAAGACACCGGTGGAACAGTTAAGCCAGCCTCCATCAATCTGGTATCCCTCCAGCTGCTTTGGATTAAGCTCCTATTAGTCTCAGGCAGCACATGTTTAAAGAGCAGCATAAGGCTGTTTGGAAAAGGGCTTTCAAAGAGCCTCACACTGCGCTTTGAACAAAGTCCCAACCGTTGGGACTTCAAATCACAGAAGCATCTGACATAGTGATGTCAGGTGATTGGCAGGGGGGCACCCACATCTATCATTCAAATTTGACCTAGTAGGGCTGGGGAAATATGGATCTGGCCTATTGGCTTCCTCACCCCTGCATAAACATGTGGTCCAACAGGGGAGAAGCAAAACCAATGCGATATCCTCCTTGGGAGGTCCAGATATTTGCCATTTAATAACCAGGACGTTTAATGCTCCTTTATGAAAACAATGCCAAATTTAGCAGTGTGATTTGTCTATGCCGAAAAACAAAAAGTGTGTTCTCGATTTCCAACAACATGCTGTTTTCTTTTCCTGGAGCTTTGGAGCAGATCCTGCGTGAAACAGCTGGGCGCTACTGTGTTGGGGATGAGGTAAGGCAAGATGCGATCCTGTCCTCTGAGGACCAAGATAATGAGAAACTCAGAATTACCAAGGTTTGGTTAACCAGGGTGCCAACAAGGAACTCCCCAGATTTCCTAAGTCAGGATAGCAAGAAATCACTTGTGGACATCCAGTGAAGCTGAATGTTGGGAGATTTAGGACAGATAAAGAAGTGCTTCTTCATGCAGCACATAGTCACACTGGGGAGGTCGCTGCCCCAGGAGGCAGTGATGGTCCCCAACTTCATTGGCTTTAAAAGAGGATTAGACAAATTCACAGAGGAGAGAGCTATTGATGGTTACCAACCACGATGGCTGTGTTCTGCCTCCACAGCTGGAGGCAGCAAAGCTTCTGAATACCAGTTGCTGGAAACTACAGCAGGGGAGAGGGCTCTTGTGCTCAGGTCCTGTTTGTGAGTTTCCCATAGACATCTGGATGGCCACAGAGAGAACTGGATTGATGGACCATTGGCCTGATCCAGCAGGCTGTTCTTATGTTCTCTTATCTGTTGCACTGGTATCAACGCAGAGGCCAAGCGAGTAGAGATCCAAGGACACAGTAAGCTAATAGTTTACTTATTCCTTTCTCTCCCTACCCCAGTTAACCGTTTAAGGGACCTCTCGCAAAAGGCTGAACATTATTCTTGGCTACAGCAAGAGTTGAGCAACAGTGCCACCTGCTACCATTAGCAGTTCAATCAAAACGTCACAGGATAGCGTGCAAGCTGTTACTCTGGTTGTTGCATGTACAGAGATGGGGGAGTGGCCATTATGTTCTTTCTCCTTCCAAGGCCCCAAAGCATGTAGATCTTTTCGGGCGTCTCAAGGAAACATTAGTTGAAAGGGGTTCTTGCAAATCCAGTTCTGCTTAATGCACTTATATTCTTGCCGTCATCTCCTCCATCCAGACCCACCATTGCACCCAGCCAGCAGAGAATTAAAGGGAACAGAAGAGCAAGGCACACACACACCCAAATTATCAAATGCAAACCCAACATATCTGAATACAAAAATAACAATGGTTAACCAAAGTCCATACATGCACCCAAATTATACTGCAAATATTATACAGTACTTCACGGCTGAAAAGGATACCTGAAAAGGACTATCTTCACCTGCAGGATGCTGCTCATTCACATAGGTCAGTTGAAACAGCCCTGAGTGAGCCATCTAGCCCCTTTCAATGGTGTTTCATCAGCTAGAGATTTTCCTGTTCCCAGTGGCCTGCCAGCTACCAAGTGCTGATTTTAATCATACCTGGTACTTTGTTTTGGTTGTTTTCATCTGCTGCTCAAGTGTGTGGCTTTATTTAAAAAAAAATTCCTGATCATTTTTAAATGGTTCACAATACTTTTTAAACTGTTCATATCAGCTGCCCTGAGTATTCTAATACAAAATGGAATCGTGGGGGTATAAATATCACAATAAATAAATCCATATCCAGTTAATGAGCTGAGCTACAGGAAACAGTGAACTGGAGTTTCCCAGCAAACTAATTGCAAAGGGTTACAGTACGTTTTTTAATGTCAAACCGTTAAGATATTTCTGTAAGCAGAATTTGGTATTGTATTAATTTGTCTTCCACATTCCCTGCCTCTTCTCATTGCTTTTAATATCAAACTGCTCAGCGCTGTGCCGCTCATAGGATCATCGCCATCACATGACACCGATCACTTTTTTGATTCCAGCATTGCAGGGGTTGGGCTAGATAACTCTCAGGATCCCTTCCAACTATACAATTCTAAGATTCTGATACATCAGATAGAAGAGGAGGCAGAGAGACTTCTCCACCGTCATCCCACCGGTCTCTGAGCTGATATTCCAGCCACATCAACATGTCACCACTATAATTTAACTCTGAGAAAACACAATCCCGCTAGGTTGAAAAGCTGAAGGGCTCTTGGAACTGCTTTAACATTTCTTTCTGCTTTTCTGCAGGTAACCATGGCTGACCTATGCTTGGTTCCCCAAGTTTTCAATGCCGGGAGGTAAGCAGAAATATGCCTTGCTAGTTGCTAGGGCAACTGGTGTGATCCCATTGGCCTAGTTGGCAGTCATACATGGGGTGGGAGGATAATACCTACTGAAGTAGCAGACAAATTGGATAAACTTTCTGCATTGGGATTCAACTTCCAGAAAACATTGGGGTGGAAGGGAAGTCAGGAGAAGTGCAATGCTGTTATGTTTTATATTTCGACATTCATGTGTTGTATGAAGCATCTGTATGAAGTCACGGTGCTTAAAAATAAACCCACTGAAATAAGCTGGCTAAAATGACTTAGGTCTGCTGACTTAGATGGGTGTACTCTGAATGTGCCCAACATTGCATATCACTTTGTGTTTATTAAGAAAAATAGAAAATTAAGAAGTGCAGCGTTCCAATCTACACTTAGAAGGCAGGCAGTGAGTCATCCCAGTTCAAGATAAAACACCACCCTCTCACCTAAACAGCCCAGAATTAGGATGTCCACTAGACTTTTGTCTTCCACATCCCAGTTCTGTATTGTTTCTCCTTTGCCTAAATCAGGCTTTGAGACTACAATTCCCATCATCCCTGACCACTGGTCCTGCTAGCTAGGGATCATGGGACTTGTAGGCCAGAAACATCTGGAGAGCCAAGGTTGAGGAAGCCTGGCCTAAATGCCCCTGCTTCGGTTGCCGACATCTAGGACATCTAACTACACAAGATGCTCAGTGCATCACTGGCAATCACAACAGCCATTTTTGTTCATTTAACAGCAAGGGTGAGGGAACCAAAGTAAATGCAGGGAAGGGGAAGATTAGCCCTTCCCTCCCCAGCCAAAATCCCAGTGAATCCCACCCCGCCCCCTTGAAATGCATGCTACAATTAATTGGGGGGGGGAGCATTTACACCAATGAAGCTTTCGTGCAAGAGCTTATTTCACTGGATCATGGCTTGTGGGTGGAGCATTTATTCTCAGAATATATTGCTATTATGGATAGGGAAAATATTTGATTTTGTTTGCATTTAAAGGCAAATCTGCACTTTCTGAAACAATACAAGAGCCGAAACAAAGCCATCCTTAGAAATTCACACTTCTCCCAGTTTTGTGGTGCATTTCTCCCGCCAAGTGATGTGCACAGAAATGCATATACTGGGGTAGGGTGTGCATGAAAATGTGTATGTTAGTGAAAAGAACATACAAAAATGCATTAAATTAGGGGAAGCTGATTTGCAAAACTGCAGTTGGGGAAATTGTGTGTGTTTGTGCGCGCGCACACATTAGGATGCTGATGAATTTTTTATTATTATAAAATTGCTGTGTGAAAATGAAGTACTATTTAAGAGAAACAGAGAACCGAAATTGACACATTTGTCTACCCCTAATCACTACATTAACTACCACAGCCTCTATGTCTAACTATTCATTTGTCTTGGCAGGTTTAAAGTGGATCTTACGCCATTCCCCACAATAAACAGAATCAACAAAGCTCTCTTGGAATTGGAAGCGTTCCAAATGAGCCATCCATCACGGCAGCCAGATACCCCTTCAGAACTAAGAGTCTAAAGCTGCCCCATTTTTTTACTGAGGAAGATTTGGGCATAACTTTTTTTTAAAAAATTGATTATCTTGTGAACTGCCCTGAGACCTGCAGATGGTATATAAATTTAATAAATAAATAATAATAGTAATAATAATTTGCCCATAAAGGGACTCTATGTGCCACCATCTAGGAAGAACCACAACTTGAATGATTTCCTGCTAAGAGAGGGAAATGCACTCCACCATCACGATTTATTCTGGTTTTATTTTGTGAACAGCCCTGAGACCCTCGGGTATAGGGCAGTATATAAATTCAATAGTAAATAAATAGTGATGATGATGATGATGCAACTACATTAAAGCACTTAGCAAGACCTAACCTTTGATCATGTTTTGACAATTGTAAAATGAGATTAAAAGAAAAAAGAGCTTCTGACTGTTCTGTGTGAAGTTCATTTGATATTATCTTGCTTGTTATACTCTAGGTGGCAAAGGTACCATCCTGCTGGGTTGACTGCACAAAAAGTTAGACAAAACAGCAGCTTAACTACTTTTTAAAAATAACTTCTTCAGTAGCACCCCAGGCAGCAAGCAAGCAACCAAGCAAGCTTTTTTTTTTCTGTCTAAAGGCCTAAATCATAAATCCCATTTATTTATGTTGTAGAAGTAAATGGGAAAGCCTTCTGCATAGGAGACAACTGCTAAGATGCATAATTGCAGAGAGATCTATGGGATCAAGGCTGCCAGACTCAGGGCTAAAGTAGTGCCTGCCAGCCAAATTAAGCCCACGGCCACAGCATCTCAACAGAGCAAAGAAGTTATGGTGAAAATGGGAGTTGGTGCAATACAGTGGCAGGAACTAAGCATCTTCTGAATCTCACAGGGGCTGAAGTTCTTCCTCAGAGAGGTCAGAACACACTTATCTGAAGTGTTAATTAGGAGTGTGTATACTTTGTACTTAAAAAAAAAGTAATTCTACAGCAAGAAAGAGGCGGATTATGTGTGTATAAATTAAATGTGCGTAATTTAGGAGGTTCTGGGAATGCAATTGCTTCTCTCCATGCCTCCTGCAAGTTTCATAGCATAAATAGAACAAAGACAGATTCTTTTTATCACAACTCTTGTGCATGCTTTATTACACAATTTGGGTTTGGATTTTAACTTTTTTGCTGGGGAGGTGGGGCTTGGTCAAACTGACAGGGGACAGAGGATTAAAAACAGGAACATAATAGAATGGGAAGAAACAGGAGCAAGGAGGAAAGGTATAGAAATGCATTGGTATAATCCAGATCCAGCTGTCAAATATCTGAAGCCCAGCCTATATGCCCTTCAGTTTATAAACATCCTGCAGTATTTGTTCATTCATTTTCAGGGTACTTTCCTCTCCACTAGCTGAGCACTATTGCATCCAAGACTGACTGATTAGGGCATGTCATAGAATATGGGGTTCAAAAGCAGCAACAGTGAGGGATGGGGGAGATTACACTGAAGTGACAGAGTGCAAACATGCAAATACTAAAGTAAAAACCCTCTGTCTGATCTCCTGAAAACCCACTCTGTTTCTCCTACATGGGATAAAACCAGCAGGAAGATCAGCAAAGTATTCAGAGAGGGATGATGTTGTTTTCACAACCTCTGTTCGCACTGGCAGTCTTGTACCCATCCACTTGTACTCTTCCAATATTCAGTCTTTCTAATCTTGCCTTCTTGGTCCAGACACAGGACTCCCAATGACTCAAGCAGGGTCCAGAGAAGACCTCGTCACCTCGAGGTCCAGCTGCAGCTTGCTTGTACTATTGTAGAACTTGCCAGCACGGTCTGACCCCCCGAAGACCAGAACAGTGCACGCATTGTGCTTGCCCTGGTTCTCCTTATCTGCATCCGTCTGGGGGGCATAAGTCAAGTTGAGCAGTGTGTGGCCTGCCCGGGGCACAGAGCAAAGGTCACTATGCTTGACTGCACTCCAAGTCAAGGTATCTGCAATGGGAAAGGGTTAATGGGTGGTAGCAAACCTCCACGTCTTGAGTACTGGTAGCAAAAGCGCCGCGAGGACTTACCAAGATGGAATGTGAATGCATCCCGAAAGGCTCCTCTGACACCACAGCCTCCGCTTATCAGCACTTTCTGATCAGACACTGGAATGGCCGCATGGAAACTGGAAGCAGAAGATGGATTCTTAAGGATTAGAATAAAGCAAAAGTGAGAGCTTGTACCCAGTTGCTCACTTCCTGCCTGGCCATCTAGGGTCATTGTCTCGCCCACCCAGCTAATATGCCCCCCAATGCCGCAGTCTGGCTCTCCCATTTTCTTCAAATGTATTGTGTAGCCATCACCAACTTCTATGGACTTATCGGGAGTCCATAACATCACATCATCCACTTGCATTATCATAAGGCAACATCACGGCCTGGACCAGGCCATCTTGATGCAGCAGGTAATGATAGTGGAAGGTGAGGAGGCAAAGGCTAGGGTGTGTCTGGTGTAACTTACATGGGATATGTTTTTTTGAAAGCAGAAGGCTCATCTCTATCCCCAACTCTGTTTTACTCAAACTTGCAACTCTGTTCTACTCAAACTTGGTCCATCTCTGTACAAATTCTGATTTGTTCCACATTTTTCAGAGGAAATATCATCTATGCAAAAATGTTAAGAGCTTTTTAAAAAGTGATCTCACCCAAAAAAGAACTGTTCACTCTTATGAGGTAATGTGAGGACTGCCTTTTAACCTCCCCACACTCCTACTTTCAGGTTGGGTTAACAGCTGCTTGGAGCAGCTACAACACTTGAAGACTCCTCCCTGCCAATCCACTCCTTAAAGAGCTACTAGCTGCTTGAAGCTGGAGGCAAGTGTAAGCTTTGCCTCTGGGTCATCATGTGATGCAGTGATGAGTCTCGCACATCAGATACTGTGAAGAGAAAAAGGTGGCTGCTACCATAGATCACCTGCCTAGGAGCTTAGATATAGGCAGGTATACCAACAGCTTGAAGGTTTCACCCATTAAATCAGGGATGTGGAGCCTGTGTCCTTCCCGATATTGTTGGATTCCAGCTCCCATCATTCCTGATCATTAGCCAAGCTGGCTGGGGGCTGAAGGGAGCTGGAGTGCAGCAGCATCAGGAGTAGGAAGGGATATAGGTTCCATATTTCTGCAGTAAAATGGTCAAGGATTGGTTTCCTCTTGTCAACTAACAGGCTTCTGAGAAGAGCAGCACATGCAAGTTTAAAGCTCTGCCTTTTTCTAACCCAGGCTCCAGGGATGCCAACTCATGACTGACAGCAGCCCTTCAAACATGCACTCAGACCCCTTTCCATTACAATCACTGGCATTGTGATTGCAAGAGAGCCCCATAATCAGCTCTTACCTGCGAGCTGAAGGTTGTCCAGAGAGAAAAGGAACTGAAATGTACTCCATGAAACCTAGAGGCACATGGGGAAAAGTGGAAGATTTCAGATGCAACAAACTTCTTGGGGGGAAATAAAGTTTGTGGTACCTTAAAAACACTGAACATTACTACAGAAGCTTTTGTGGGCTAGAGTTGGCTTCATCAGTCTAAGGAGGAATGTAACCAATGGTATCAATTTGTAAAGAAATGCAAAAAGGCCTGACTAGTGACCATTCATAAAACTATTGAATTTAGATCAACACAGGCTTTACTTTTTGCATTTTATTCACTTCCTCTCCACTCACGCCCACAATAACTTTGTTACACTTCAAGGTGCTACAGGGTTTTGTTGTTTTTGCTGAAATACACTTCACACAGCTTCCTCTCTGGATGGGAATTGCAGCAGCTTATTGCATACAATGCAGAGATGTCTGTAACTGCACCTGGCCATAAATTACTGGTTATAGCACCAGTAATCTTACAGTGGCCAGTAAGAGGTCATTTTTGATCCATTCTCCAAAAGGTTTTGAGGCAAAGTCGCTGTTCGCTAGCATCAGTCTTTCCTCACACCAGTGTACAATACTGTATATACCAACTTCTGACATCTCCCGCCTCAAGGGATTCCTTTAACCTCACCAGGCGGTGGACTTCAACTCTATCCAAATTGAGAGAGGGAATGGCAAAGTTCTTACCCAGATCTAGGATGTGTGTGTCGTTCAGGTAGAAGGAAGTCTTTTGGCCCCCCAAATATGATCAGTTTGTTCCTCAGCAGAGTAGCTGAATGGCTTTGAGAAAGCAAGGAAAGACAGTGAACAAGGAAAACGTAGGAAAATGAAACAGTCCCTGCAACATCTATAGCTAGAAATCCACTTTATGTCTTATATTTCTGAATGATTTTTCCTAGCTTCAGTCAATCTCAGTGGCCATTCTGGGGCACCCACAGGGGCTGTATATGAGTAGCTCCATCATTTCCAAAGCTAGCAAGGCATTTGGTGGAAAGAGGCCAAAAGTTTGGTCAGCTCCAGCAATGCCTTAAAAACAAATTATGGTGTTCCAATATCCAATAGCAACTTTCAAAACTAAAGTTTTAATATGAGACATCAGCTGCATTAAGCCTTTCGGTAGCAGCAGAAGAATAAAATTGCTCTTCTTTCGGTAGCAGCAGAAGAATAAAATGTGTGAGTTGGTTTTAGATATAATAATGTTTATGCTGTAATTTTTTTAAAAAATCTCTATTGCCATAAGCTGGCCTGCAACCTTAGGCTGTGTTCACACTCCAGTTTACTGTGCATTCACTGAGTTTCCAGTGCTGGTTTATAATCTGTGTTCACATGACGTTATCCAAAATGCATTATGTATCTTGTACTTTGTTATAAGATACTACTGTTTGGTGTATTGTTTCTCAAACTAGCTTCACATGATTGGAATCCTTATGCCTCTTGTTTTTGGCGAAGGTGTGAAAGCATCCCTGTGGGAAACAACTTCACTGAAACCTATGGCAGTAATGTGAACACAGCCCTAGAGTGGGGGGCAGGATATAACCCCCTCAAAAAAGGCATACATAAACATAATGTAATGTGAACCATGGAACACAAAAGGCTTTTTTACTAGAGAAATGCGTCAAGTAAACACAAGTTTTACAGCACTGCTTGAGTAGATTTGCCAAGATTTTATCTAGATTAAGAACAAACTCAATAACTCATCAGAAGTGATAGAATTTCCCCCATTTGCTAAAGTTAAAAGTTTTATTGAAGCAACGTATTAGGGAATGTGTAATTTGGTCCAGAGACCTATAGATCCAACTCCTAAGCTGATCTCTGCAAAATGAGAAGAAGCTTCTATTAATTCCTTCTCTTGACCAACAGGTTTTTGTGAATTCTCTGATTAAGAGAACTGAAAAGTCTTTAGCCAAAACACAAACTCCCATGCTGGAGGTAAGGAAAACTTTTGTCAAGATTTACACAGGTGTTATCAATATTAGTATATGAGCCTGATCCTAAAACCTGCAAGAGGCACCCACTCCACTTGTGAAATGAGGCTCTCATACTTCTC